CATGGTGGTTTTGGAGTTTAGATGGACGATAATCACATCTCTGTCATCTCTATTTACTCCGGTAAAGCCAAAGTAACTGTCGTTCACATTTTCGTATTTTGGGCTTTAGAAATTTACAAATTGGTTTTTGCCTCTACAACACGATAGCGAAGGTTATCTCCGAGTAGAGTGAAACCGTTCGTCTGCAGGTATAAGGCCTACTGGCAAACTATTTTGATTTGTGGATTCCAAATTTCATTATGATCAAACAATTCACGCACAAGAAAGTGAATACGGTACATCCTGTGATCGCAAATAATCTATTCTGGTAATGAAACTTGGGTGCACGCCTGAACAGGAAATTATTTTTAAAGAAAAGTATGCGAACGAAGTCGTTTTATGATCAGTTATTAGCCTTGTGTCGTGCCCCCCCTCTCTTGAACTGCTTCGTGGCCATCGACCCCCGGTTGAGAACCACTGATATACACGATCATTCAAATTGCATTCGATATCCTGTTTCAAATTCAGAAATATTTGCTGCAATATTTTTTCTGTTGATATCGAAATATGTGCAATGAGCGGTCCGCCAAACCATTTAGTGGCGCCCTTGTCAACACTCAGATTCATCGAGTATAAAGTTCAATCCGACAGTTCATGTTTTAAAAAGCGCTCACATGGGTATAAGTACACAACGATATTGGCTCTTGTCGCTGCGTTAAATAATCCGCCGTTTTGTCTGGTCCCTTTATTGCTGGAATGGTAAGCGATAGCCTCACTCTCTTCTCTTGTCTTTCCCGTGGCACTCTGGTGATCGCTATTTTTAAATATTTCCGTTTCCGTATTTCCTATATCTCATTAGGAGCTTAGTCAGTTATTTACCGTACCACATAATGGCAATACATTTACATTGCCGATGTCTGTGTCACTTTTTCGTCATTTCCGTTTTGCATGGTTTTTCAATTGCGCACATGAGAATGCTATTTTTGTGTGATTCAGCTTGATGTCTGAAGCTGGTTTTCCCATCAACAATAAATGTTGCACTCGCGTGATATAGAATATGACAATGGAGCCGCATTGGGAAGATTGCGACAGGTGGTGATTTAAAATGTGAAGTAAATTATGGTTTAAGATTTACACTTTCCAACATTATGGGTACATGAGACTGGAATTTAAAGTGCAGTTTCAATTTATAGCTTGTTCACAATAGTGTGCCTCGAAAGATTCTCAGGTGTGCGCAGATTGGAGGGACTTCTTGGAATTGTCGACAAAATGCGGGTGTGCTGGCAACGACAGAACCTCATTTCAATTTTATTTGTTCTTCAAAACCGGCACACTCATCATATTAACATTTGCAAAATATATTTTTTAAAGCTAACTTCATTTTTTACAGGTGTACCACATTTTTTTTTTTCATTTTTTTTTTAATTTGCTCACATTTATGGCCGCAAGCAAAAAAGTTTAAAACCCACCGGTTTATTCGCTAGCTGCTATAAACTGTATAATATCAATTTACGAATAAACTCACTTTTCAATAGTTGCTACTATTTTTTGCCAGCTTCACTATACCTCTCAACAGCCCCATCATTTGGATTTGCAATCGGTGTCATTAACCATCTTTATTACCAAATTCTCCGCTTTCAAATAGGTCATAAATCTCAGATTGCTGCAAAATGAATGAATCGTGTGTTGATTCTTGCCATTTTACAGCGATGTCAGTAAAAACTATTCGATCATCATTTTAGATTAGGAGAGTTAAATAACACAAATAAAAGCTATGACCATGCTCACAAAAAACATAATACAGTATAAAATCCACATATAAACTAATATGCTGACCTGTACATTTAAAGGAGGAAAATTATTTCGGAAGATATACAGATTTTCATTTACAGCGGGGGCTATTATTGGCACATGGGTCGATAACACCGATCAAATTAGAAAATTTATTTATTTTGTAAAAGTTAAATTTTGTTTTCAGTGGGTCCGTTGGTATATATATATATATATATATATATATATGAATTTGTTTGCGAGCTCACCCAGGCAGCGAAAAAAAAATCTTGTAAATACCCGGTTAGCGGTGGGCTGGAGACATCAATAACATTTTTAGCACTTTAGTGAAAGATACCAGAGGCTTCTTTAATGCGCTGCTTCGTTTTTACTGAAGTGCATTCATATCGGGAGGGAATCTCTTCCTATTGGATTATCTTGTGCGTTGCTAACTATTCAATGTAAGCTTGACTTGAAAAAACGCGGATATTTCAGCAACTAATATGATATGACGGTTTCAATGGTAATTCGTTTTTAGTTTCCTTTTACAATGTCCCGAACCTATCCGTTCTAATTGTAAAAAAAACGCTTCGATGCAATGTTGTTTTACAGAAGAAGTCTTTAGTTAATATTTGTATTGTTCAAAAAAACTCACTTTAGGCTCAGAATATAATGAATTGTGTAGCGTAGCCGAAACGGAAATATTCCAGTAGTTTATAAAATAGCAGATCGTTGCATGACGTTAGAGATAGCAGTGATGCTTGTACAGTGCCTTGTTTGGGAGGAAGGCGTAAATAGGTGTCTTACAAAAAAATCTGGCTCTAAAGTTAAACTAGGCCGAGATGATGTCGACGCTGATCAGTGGTAATCGATTTTATACATTTATCTCGCTAGTAATAGTATATTTGTCATGTGTTGTTACATTTGGGCGGTGCCAGACGATTGTATTTCAAAATAGTTATTTCAAAGGTTGGCATTCTTATTTAGAACAATATAGCGGAAAACTATTGATAGTATCAGAGACAATTACAGAGCTCTGACTGGACGAGAGTCACGATGAAATGAGCAAAATCGAAATAAATCATATTTATTCAGACTACAAAATTACTGTAATATTAAAGTATTCATTTAGGTCAGACGGGAATGATCCGTTTTAACGTCCATTTCGTTTGCTTTGGTAACTCTGAATGTAAAGGCCCGTTAGTTACGAGTTGGAGTTAATGTTCTGTTTCCTCTCCCCAATCCGTGATCAGTTTTTCTACTGTAACTTTATTCAAATATTTGTGGTTTTGGGGCCATATCTTTGGCTTGGTGCCTCTGATCACGGGCAGAACGCGCCCGGCTTCTGTATCCTTGACCATTGGTGACGGTTTTAATGGGTAAAGGTAAATTTCAGTGTACACACCCATGTATTGAAATTCTATATTCGTCCATGAATGCTTTAGAAACAGGCCGCGTGATATACATTTATTGCAGAAGATAGATATTTACCTATTTCAAAAAAGCCCAATTTATATAAAATTTTGCTATTGATTCTACAGATTTCTTGATATTTTTGAGCTCTTTTCACCTATTTTCCTCATACGTTATAAAAAAATAAAACTACAAAAATAGCGGATTTCGAAATGGCCACATCAACAATTACTGTAACTTGCTACTTGCTCATCCAATCATTGCTAATTTGACGTATGCGCAATCGTTTTCATGCATATCCTACTTGCCTATGAAGCAGTCATAGATTTTAGAAACCCAAACGCGGATGTGTTTTGGCAGTCGTCCACGCTTCAAAACCAATTAAATTGGAATTTTGGATTATGAATTTAATATCAAAATCGCATTTGAGTTAGAATGTTAATGCCTAAATACAGACAAGCTTGGGAAAGAAAAACTGACGACCGTGGCCAGTGCCAAGTTTAAACCATAGTATTCTCGCGACATGGTCAAACTTGCACCTGAAATGCTGCAGGATTCATTTCCCTGATCCTAATTGATCTGCGTTGTCGTCACCGTTGCCAATGTTAAACGTGATTTCAATCTAAACACAAATTAAATTGAATTTTTCCACTGATATATACGATTAACCGATCAGTAGTGAAAAATACGTTTAGTTAAAGTTTTTTTTTTATCACTAATGTGCATTTGCTGCAAAACTTATCGTGATGTTGAAGCGTTTTATTTGTATAATATTTAAAGTACATTGAAATGACGTATCCGTGTTTGCATTTGACTAATATGTGATCATAACCAATAAAATGACGTTTATGCTAGGTACAGACTTGTTCCGCGTTCTACGCTGCAAATCGTGGGCTACAATATCCTCCCACGTTCCGCAATGCTTCGACCATTATTCGCTCTACTGATTGTTATTCATTGTTTGTATGAGTTTTGACTCGCTTTTTGTGGGCTGTGCGTCTCGGCGTTGGTAAATCCCCCGTTCCGAGACAGCGATCGTTTTTGTGTTACTATGGCTATGAATACATATTAGGTATTTGTATTACCTTCAGCTACGGTTTGCCTAAACCAAGGTCACTTACCCGAATTCTAGCCGCCAAGTGTTTAGAAATGCATTAGCAGGTCTTGCAAAGGAGAGACAAATGAATTAATCATCTACTCATATTCATGGGGTTTAGCCAACCAGATGATATATTCGCGAGATCGCTATTATGGTATTATGCATTTATTGCTATTCAGCACTTCTTTGGGCAAGTTACAAAAGGCAATTTACTGGCTCCAAAAATCGTTGGTTGCGAATAATTGAAGATCGCAACTCTAATTACAATAGTAGCATAGATGTAATATAAATGGTACTAGACACCAGAGAAGGGTTTTAGTCCACCTTGGGAGAATTGAAATTGCATCATAAGTACTGCATTATTCTTTTTATTCTCACAATTTTATTCTTGATTAAGCATTGCTTATTTGTGCAGGTTACAAAAATTAACTTAATTTATTTATTTAAATTGTGCATCAGCAAATTAAAAGGGTTCTATATTATTCAGGAAACTCGGATTATATTAATCAATGAGTTGTAATGATAATGCTACTTCATTAGTGGTTGATACTTTTTTATTGAGATCTCTTTTATGACATTGTAAGATTTTTCGTTGTAAAATTTGCATAATAGTGATACTATGATAAATGCCATTGTTTATTATCACTGTATGGAATTAATTTCTAGATTATTTATGTTGGCCATGATAAGTTCAACATCAGATGGTCATTGTACATTTATTTTGATTTAGACTGAAATATTTAAAATAATAATAAATGATATATCAACAAGTGTCATAGAAAGACTGGAATAATGATTATTCATTCTCTCAATGCCATTTAATAGTGAATATCAAAAACATGGTGGTACCACAGAATGTTGATGCATTGAAAAAAGAATGCATTGCAATTGTGCTACAAAAGTTTTTCAAAGAAGAACAAACTTTGAAGCTTGCTGAACTACTTCACAAAAAAGATGCAATTTCTAAAAGTAAATGATGGAATAATTTTGTATTGTTAAAATTTTATTTTGGCAATATGGTAGAATTTGCCGCAAATGGACATGTATAAAAGACTATTTTTTGCAGTATCTTGTCTTTTATATAAAATGTCTCTATATTCATTTTAATTCATATCGTTACAGGTTGTCATGACAAAGTGTGTAAAGGTCTTAAAAGCAAAGAGAAGTCTAATGAGGAAAAGATTGAAAAAATTGTCAACTCATTGGAACAACTTAAATTTGTGAACTTTGAATATGCACTGTGCGTTGAAGGTGTGCATCATAAGTTTATGAAAACTTGAATCCATGTTTACTCTCATGTGCATTTATTATTCTGCATTCTAAAAAATTGTAATTCAATACAACTGAAAATATGTATGCAAAATAAACTCATTTATCATATAGTAATGTTAAATTGACTATGTGTTTAATGTCTTACACTCTGATTATCAGCTTATTTCACTTTATTCTCACCTTATCTCAATCACCGTATTACTTTTCAAATCATTACTATTCTTGCTTTGCACTAACTTGGAATAATAGGAAATGAAAGGAGTTTTTAGTTGCATTACTACACAAATGTAATAAATTTTCACAATAATTTGATTTGTTTATTTTCCCTTGCATATACTCATATGTATCAATGTTGATAAATATTTTGAATTTTACTCTTTTCAAAGCTTCTAAATTCAGATATTGTTCTCATTCAGCTTGGGTAGCAATTTTTTACAACCCAGGTGGGTTGAAGGTATGGAATATTTGACTTGCAATACCAATATAGTTGCACTAATTGTATTAACTACAACAACATTTCACTAATAAAATTTGCTTAGCTAATGCAGAAAAATGAGTTGTTTTAATATTTATAGAGTTTCCTGCCGATCAAGAAACAAAGGAACTTTTATTATCAATTCACAAGTCACAAACACCCCATCTCTTTATTCTGATAAAAAACTGGAACCTGTTGGCTCAACCTGAATGTTTTTCTGAATTTAGAGACATTCTGGGACTACAGTTATCTGGAAGGTAACATACATTTGCTCATTTTATATCAGGAGGCATCAGTTTCTGATTTTGCCCCTAATTTAATGTGGAACCCATGATTTGTTGGCCCTACGATTGGTGCATCGTATTAATCATTAGGAACAACCTTATCATCATACTTGACTTGGTCTGATAACTAGATAGGGAGCGATGGTTTTACATATGATATCCCCCTACCTAAAATAAATATATAATATTTTATTCCTATGCAGGATACAGATTAAGGTTTTCATATGCTTAAATGTATTCTGTAGTAAATATTCAAAATATGTAATGTAGAGCCTTACTCTGTTAAATAACATTTTCAAAAGACATAGTTTTATCATACTTTAACTATACCTTTTCAGTTCGGAAGATGATGTTATTAAAGTAAGAAAAATGATCATTCTTGCACTTGAAAAACTTCACCAACCAGATGAAGAGGGAAAAAAAGTTGTTGAAGCAGCTATGGACTTTATTGGGGAAAAGGTAAAAAAAATATTTTAGACAGAGTCCAATTCAATGGAAATATATATGTGTTATAAACAGTGCTGGGTAGAAGCTTCTAAACTCGAGTTGCAAGTCGATTGACAGGTCATCCAAGTCTTGAGTTGAGGCTGAGTCTCACTGGTGCTTAGTTGAACATGGTTTCAAGTCATTTTATTTAGATGACTTGAGTCACTCGAGACTTCGATAACTAGTGACTCAATTATTACTCTAGTGGAGTCAGTGACTCAAGGCTTCCCAACGCCGGATATGCGCAAAATTATTTTTTTATTGTTCTGTAACTTTGAGTTTAAGTTTTTTGCATCACAAATAGCAAAATGCTCAGCAAGAGTAATGCAGAAATGGCTTGTGTTTGAATCTCTTAAAACCAACAATATTCATTCAACAATACCATACTTCATGTTATGTCAAATTTACTTGGTTGTATTTTGATATACCGGTAGTTAATTTGTTTACATTTTATTTATTGTTTCTAACATAATTAAAAAACAAAACTTTTAAAATAGTGAGATTTTTGTAACAAAAATTTAAAATGTATTTTGAACTCATAATGTCGTAAGATGGCCAATTGCACAAATGAATCACAAAAAAGAACTAAATCTTGGCATATTTTGTTATTGTATTGTTATTTGTGACAATGAAGCAATTTTTGACTTTGTTCTATAAACTAATTTCAATGAGATGAAACATTTTATTTTGTTGAATAATACCATCAAAAATATAGTTTATAATATTGTACTTTAAACCTATATATATTTTTTTATTTATAGTCTGAATTTATCAAATCACTAGCATCAGATGTTCATACGGATGATCAATCACAGCAGAAGACGAAAGGCAATTCTGATGATATTAAAAATTCTGAAAGAAGTGAGTCTCAGTCACTTGAAGGTGAGAATTGATTTGTAATTTTGATTTGAGTAATCAGACAATAAGTTTAAGCCCGATAGGCTCCTGCTATAGTAATTTGACCTTTACATATTTGTTCTCCTGTTGTTTGGTGTGATTACAGCATTCTAAATGGATTTTCAATAAATTATATTTATATAAAACAACTATATCAAACTAATAATAATATATAATAGATTCTAGGAAAGCAACAGTGGGGAGCAACATTTTATATTTATTTTTATTGTATGGCTCATACCTAATCTGAATGTAATAATGAATGTTTTGAACGTAATGAATGTTTTCAATAAATTACTCCTGAATATTTTTTCTCTGTATGTAGAATTAAAATGCATTTGTTTATTCATAGTAATATCACACAGTGACACAAAGTATGTGCAAATATGTGTTAATATTTAGTAATATACCTTTGCATAATAAACATTTTAAATAAGTGATGGATATTTTTTGCCAGGAAATAACTCACAAACTTCTGATATGATTCAATTTCCAGGAAAAAATTATTTAAGGCCTATGAGCAGCAGCATTTTGGGACAAAATACAGAACTTTGTAAGTTTAATAAATTTAATCATTACCGGTAATTATGTCTATCCAGCTCTTGTATGTACATCATGGGTATGTAATTATTACAGCCTATTTGGAGAGCATTCTATGTTACAATCTGAGTTTCAAGGTTGTTAAAATTCATCATGAGATAATTTTGCTAATTTTGGCAAAAGTCTGGGGAATTTGATTTTGAATTTCAAACCAGATAATTTGAAAATATGAGTATGACATAATTGAAAACATGACAAACTCTAGCTTCCAATTTCGAAGCTAACTTCCAAGCTCGGTTTGCAATTTGAGTTTGTTCATGTAGTACATTTATATCTCATGTTTTAAATCTTATGTTTTGGCAACTTCACTGAATTTCTGTCATTTTTTGTAGCATGACTTAGTTCAAAATGAATTGTTTTTATCTTGTCTGGAATATTTAGCTTTTATTTTTTCATTTGAATTTGAGAATCGTTTATTTGTAAAAAAGTTGCGTTTACATTTCACTTTGAAAAATATATATAGTTGCCCTTATGTATGCTGCAGATATATCACTAATCTTGATTTTTCGGGGAAAGACTTCAGTTACAGGTGTGTGAACTAAAATTGTCGTATATATTTGATATATTTTCATATGTTATTTTCATTCATTCAAGCTATAGAGTTCAGAGCATTAGTAGCTGATACCAATGCTTTGCCGACGAATACAATTTTACATATCAGATTAGAGGGTTATGGCTGGAAACCAATTCCAATGGATTTTAATGAAAGGTAAATGTAATTGCATTGTTGGTGTTCAACTACTTCTTTTCAAAAATTGTTGTTGTTGTCGAGACTTCATATTTACCTATAGATTGTCTGAAGGGCAGCTGTTTTTCACCAAGATTTGCAACTTTTTGCAATTGCTTCACCTCATGAATAATCTTTTTTATCGATTCCTGATATGTTTGTGATTCCATATTTTAATGTTATCATTAATTTCATGTTCATACAGGTGCACTGCTTTTTTCAATAACAAGCGAAGTGTTGACAACTGTTTCTTTAATTCATGTTTATCATATTTAATTCTAATACTTTTTGTGTCTTGCTTTTGCTATGTTGGAAACATTTTCTACAGTAAATAAAAGAATGGTGTAAACATTTTTTACTTTTTCTGACAGAAAAGGATATTTTACCTATCGATGCATCTGTGACACAAGCTTCAATGAATTACTAAAATACAAGTTTTGTTTTCCTAACAATGGAGAAGATCATTCATATCTTAAGCATGAAAGGCTGCCTTATGATAATTTTGGTTACACTAATCGTGAAGTCAGTCTCAGAAAGGGTGAATAAGCCTTAAAATTTAGAAATATTTTGCTGATGTTTCTTTTCGCTGATGTTGAACAATTTTCAAATTATACAATTTCATTCGCTAAACTCGTCATTTTTATTTGCCTAAACTGAAAAACTTACAATATTTATTCAAATAAAAATTTATAGTAATTTCAAGATTGAGATATTGACAACATCCTGTTCAGAAATCATATTAAAAAAACAGAATTGAAGATTCATTATCTTCATGGTAATTTTTTTTTATCAAGATATTCATCATCATTAATATTTATAGTGGAGACACAACAAATGATCATCATTAGTATCTGTTTATTTGACCACTCTGGTTCCTGGGAACGAAGGTGCTGTGAAGCTATGGAAAAAGTTCTTCCTCCATTGGGTGTTTCTGATAATGAAACTTCAGCAGCTGTTGATATATTCCTATGGATGAATTGTGTTAAGGGCGGGTGGTATATCAACAGAATAAATTATAAAGCACCAGAGAATGTAAGTCTAAATAATGCCCTTCAAGATGTTTCAATAAGAGCAATAACCAGGCATCAGGAATGAATACTATAACAGTTGACATCGAAGATTAAATATTCCCATACTTGACCTACTACTAACTTTGTAAGTGGTTACTCTTTTCTATGTAATGAAGCGATCTCATTACCTTTTACTTTCCTCAGTATAAATGATACAAATTTTGTTTTACTTTTTTTTTCAAATATTGATATCATCTTGTTATAAATTCAACTAAATCAATCTTGCAAACTTACAGAATTGCTTCACTACCTGATGAAGGCAGAAAGTAAACTAACATTACCTTTAAAACCACTATTGAAGCACATACTTTTAGTATGCTAGATGACATAAACACTCTTGCAAAAATACATAGGCACTTTTTAATCTATATTTACTAATTTTACCAATTTTTGTTTTCCTTAGGTGTTTGAAAAAATTTTAGTCAAGTGGCTCAGAGATACCAAGGAAAAAATGTCTAGTAATATCAAAGATGTATTGGATCAACTATCTGCAACTTTGTCTCTTGTTGTGTCCATTGCATATGAAGAACATAGAATTTGTTCGAGTGAATTGCTGTCTCTTCTGTTTCAAATGCTGAGAATTGATCAACTCAAATCTGACAAGGATTGTAAAAAATTGTATTCATATGCCATGAAACAATATGAGCAATCCGAGAACTTAGGGTGAGTAAAAAAAAAACATTTGCTATGTTCCAGTTTACTTTTATGAATTTTAAATTAATTCTTTTGATTAAATAGAATCAGGTTGCCTACTTTTCGAGAGGCTATTGATTGGCTCTACAAGCAAATACCTAGTAAACCGAATATGGAATGGATTCTAAGTTTGCCACTGTACTGGCTCATGATTCATGGTGGAGACTCGAAAAAAGAAGTTCAGCTGAGGAAACCTATTAAAAGTATTTTGTATTCACAAGCTAGTCTACCAAGGATAAATGACTTAGACTGGAACAAAGTGTGGCAAAGATGTCGAACATGCTCACATGAAAGGCAAGTATTTTCTTATATACTAATCATATAACTGGTCAATGGCATGAGTAAAGTACTGCTTTTATTCTTGATGTTCCTTTATCTACCTTCAGAAATGAATTTCTCGATCAGTCTCAGAAATGTGTGGAATTGGCCAGACTTCATCCATGGATAATAAATACTTTTCACTTTATGTTGCTTGATAAAGAATTTGCTTCATTAGTGTTGAAAAGAGAAGAATTTAGAATTGTTGATTATTTTGAAGTTGATTCTGCTTTACACCAATATTTGGAAGGCTTAAAGAAGGGACGGTTGTCAAATCTTGTAGGTGTAACATATTAGTTTTACAAAACTTTCCTCGTACAAATTTTGAACTAAATATGTTGTTATTATTATAGAGAATAGAAGAAAAAAAAGATTGTGAAAAATACATATTGGAAAAAATCAGAAAAGAGAGTTCTACGCTCGCAGAATTGGAGTAAGAGTTTTTAAATAAAGTTCAAAATTTTAGCGCATGATTCAGTTATTTTTCCAATCTTCAGTTCAAGACATTCATACACAATTTGTTCTCAGTTTTATTTAATACCTCTATTATTTTTTAACACTACATCTTCCCCATATAACTCCTTAGTTTTTGTGCATCTCATTTACATTTTAAAGTTGTTGCAGAAAGTTATTACCCTAACAATTTGTTTTCATTCTGTGTCCAAGTGGGATAGATGGTTGTTTATCATGTTAATTGGAATGAGACAAGCTTGCATATTCTAACTAACTGTCACTTGATTTTGAATAACTAATTAATACACTTAATGGCAAAATATTTCATAAATGGGAAGTTCTGCTGTATTTATACTATACTAATACTTATTTAATGGCATTTTACAGCAGGCAATGTGAAGATACCCAAGAAAAATTGGAATCTTGTTTAAATTTGCTGAGATTCACCAATGATTTTCTTGGACGAAAATCTCCCATTGTGAATAATAATGAAGTTCTAAGGTTGTTGGATATCGTGAGAGAAACTGTTACCTGGATCAATATGTTGAAAATGGTACAGTTCTCACTTTCCAATTTTCAATTATATTTCAGTCATTTTAGATTGATGTATTTTAAAGCATGCTTATTTTTGTTATATACATGGAGTCAAAATTCTTTTTTGTTCAGTTGAAGTAAAGATTGTTCTATAATTTTTGAATAAAGAAGAATTTTTATATAAACTTTTAGATTGATCAGAAGAATGTTGGAGATGCCATAAGGAATTTGATTGACCTGATAACCAAAGGAATTCACAAGAAGCCAGTGGATAAAGATGAAGTAGAAGTATGTACTCCTAATAAAGTGTTAAAGTGTTCAATTTTTCTACTGTTATACACATTTTAGATTTCTTATGAACTTATGAATGTGAGATTAATATTTCAACTGCCAAACATCAACTTGTGAATAGAATCGGATTTACATATTTATCCCAGGGGAGAGTAAAGCTGATAAGACGGCTTATCCATATGGCGAACCACGGCCTCTCGTCCGATTACCATTCCAAGTCGGGTATGGAATTAGTTATATTGTTTGTTTTCGGAAGCATGGACTTGGTGGTGGAGGAAGCCGTAACCGACCAGCGGTTACGTGAACCACCTAACGACGGCGAGGAGTTCAGCAATCCTCTCGCACATAACCATCCCTGCATGGGATTCGAACCTGCGAACTCACGCAGAGTATTTAGAGGTGCGGTGGCGAGCGTATTCCTAACGTAACTTCCTTCCTTAGCCAGTTGAGCCACACCGCCGCGCCGTGCTTTCATGTTTATAAATCTTCAATTCTTGCTGTTTGATAACCAGTTGGAGTTATTCATAGTTTGGGGAATTTATATCATATTGATTCTTTATTATTGTAATGATATACATTTTTACCATTGAGAAAATAAACACTGCATCTGCTATACCAGTGGCAGTGGTTCCCAAACCGCGAGGCAATAACGGTCTGTGTAATGATTAAATATGGCTCGTCGAACTTGTGTGGAATAGTTTAACACTTCATGTTTCTACCTTTTTTCACATTCTAGATATTGCCAATTGTTGCATTATTATCACAGTATATATTTGTAACAATTCAATTGTACCGGTATCTTAACTATATGTACCGGTATCGGACCATTGCGGATGCTCCCCTCTCTAGGCCGTGAATAACCTTTCACTTCTAACTTTAGACCAGAGGTTTGATTGATTGATTGAGGGGTTGGCAAACTACAGCCAACAGCCTACAGGCAATATAATCCGGCCCGCGACGCTTCACTGAATTATATTACCGGAACAACTGTATTGAAGATTATATTCTTTACGTAACAGAATTTGTTCTGAGACACTTAATTACATTATAACCTAACAAGTATATAATTCACAATCACTCGTTTAATGAGCCTATAAATTGATTATAATAAAACAAATGGCAACGGAACATAAAAAAGTTGATTCTGAGTGCAAATGGTTTAATGGCGCAGAAAATATTCAAATGATCAGTCTTTGCGCGCTGCTTGAAATTTAACTGAAATTTGTGTGAAAAAATGTGATTCATTGGCCATTCCTTCAGTTATTAACTTTCTAAAAATATGTGCGGCCTGCCAATGACTTGTAACTCTTAATTTTGGCTCATGATCGATAAAAATTTGCCGACCCCCGCTTTAGACCCTGGTCAATCGACTTTGGGAACCACTACTCTATATAATATATTATCTTTCAATATCATTTTCCCATCTTTTCCTTTATTTCTTTGTTCTATTGTCAGAAAATATATAAGAACATAATATTCTACCACAATAAATATTTTCTTATCAAAGTGTTTATCAACATGAGTTTAGGAAAACTCAATATATTTACTTTTTTCAGTGGCGGCGCGTCAATAGGGCCAACCGGGGCAATGCCCTGGTTGTTTTTTCGGTATAATAAAAAATATTCGAAAAATACCTCAATATCGGTTGCACAGACTGTCTACACTAGCCATATTCTCCCGACATGGTTCATTTTTCGCTCGCAAAGCCTTCGCCGAACGTCGACGGGGCGACGCCGATTTTGCCCCGGTTGCTCATTGTATGTCTTATTCTCTCTTTTATCTTCCACTCGCCGCGTTTGTCTCGTTTGTTTTCTGTTTCTTTTACTAAATCATCGGGGCCGATCAGGGCTAGCCCCGAAATTATGACGACACAATGCCGACGTTTCTTACAACAACGTGTTGACATATTCACGCATTCCTTCTCGTTCGTTGGTTGCTTGAAGAGTTGATAGTTTCCTCGCCTTCGTTTTTGTCGCTTGTTTCGCTATTTGAATCAGTTAGAGACCTTTAGTCCATTTGCTTTCGATCTTCCACATTCCTTTTGAGCTCCTCACTTCTTTCCGGCTTCGCATTTCTTAGCCTTAGACCTCATAATGAATAAGGTTGATGCACTACTTCACACTCCGTTTTCGCAGCTGCCGCTGGAACAAAAATTAGAGGTACAACGTCTTGGGCCTTATCAACCAAAAAATTGTTCACTGGAACAATCCCATGACGGAGGAAAGCGTCGGCGTACATTCTGCGCAGAAACTTGGTATAAAAAACACGAATGGTTGTGTTACAGCGAGGACAAAAATGCACTTTTTTGTTTTTATTGCCTACTTTTTGCTACCGCCCGTGACTCACGTTGGTGTAAATTTGGTTTTAGAGATCTTAAACATCTTTCCGAGCGTGCCAGGGATCATCAATCTTCTATGGGGCATCTGGACAATGCAGTAAAATACCGAACATTCGGAAATGTTAATATTGCAGCACAGTTGGATGAAGGACGCGCAGTTTCTATTCGTCGGCACAACCAAAACGTCGAGAAAAACCGCCATGTTCTCGGTCGATTGATAGATGTTTTGAAGTTCATTGGTTGTCACGAGCTGTCTCTCCGTGGGCACGATGAACGGGCTGGCTCTTCTAATAGAGGGGTATTTTTGGATATGGTGGAATACAACGCATCCCTAGATACAGTATTGGGAGATCATCTTGATGCCGCAACTGTTTCGAAAGGGACATCTAAGAATATCCAAAATGATTTGCTCGACTCGATGTATAAAATTTATTTACAACATTTGGCTCTGGAAATTGAGAATTGCCAGTTCCTTTCGATTCAGTCTGACGAGACAACTGACATCACGTGCGTTTCCCAACTGGCTGTGATTTTTCGGTTTGTGAAAGATGGTAAACCTACCGAGAGATTTCACAGCTTTGTACCAATCGTTGATCGCACAGCTTGCGGGATATCGGCTGTACTGAAAGAAGTGTTACAGCCTTACAACGCGAAGTCAAAATCGATAGCTCAAACTTATGACGGCGCGGCAGTCATGAGTGGGTCGGGACATGGTGTTCAAGTTTATATAAAAGAAGATTTTCCTCATGCGCATTTTTTACATTGTTATGCACACCAATTTAACCTCGTTATTAAAAATATGTGTCTTGATACCCCTCTCGTCCGTATATTTTTTGCAAATGTTTCGGGGTTTTCTTCATTTTTTTCCGTTTCGCCGAAGCGCTCTGACCTCCTTCACCAGATATGTAGCCGCCGTCTCCCAGCTTGTGCACCAACACGTTGGAACTTCCAATCACGCATGGTGTAGGGCGTGTCCAAAATTAGGTCTGAGCTCATTGAGGGTTTCAATGGCATTCAGAGCTCTCCGGTTTGGGACGAACGCTCTGTGAGGAAGGTGGCAGGTCTAAAGCGTCTGCTAGAAGATGGTGAGTTTTCATTTTTTCTCGCTTTTTTCTCCACAATATTCTATCACGTGGATGTATTATACGGCGCATTGCAGTCAAGGCTAATGGATGGAGCGTCTGTGCAGTCGTGTATTTCAGACTTCTGCGATGCTGTATCTCGTATACGGGAAACAATAAAATACGACGACATATGGAGTGCTTCTTTACGCCGCGGACAAACAACGCAGCGTTTGATTTTGTCTGCAGAGGAATGCTGTGACATTCTGGTGAATCAAATAGGCGATCGTCTGCGCACTGAACACCTTGCCGCGTTCTCTTTGATGAACCCCAAAAATTTTTCAAAATTTGCACGTCAATTTCCCATTCATTTGTTGGCTACTGTCTCCAAATTTTACCCCATGATAAACGTGGGTAAATTGAAAAATGAATTGCGATGTATATACACCAATCAAACTTTTTTGAACATCACATCAACTTGCGCGCTCTATGGGTTCCTCATAGATAACACTCTAGTAACTACCTTTGCGGCGTCTGCAAAATTTCTGGACATCATTTTGACGACGCCTATTTCTTCCGCCGATGCAGAGTGAACATTCAGCACGCTGAAGCGTATTAAAACGTATCTCAGAAACACAATGAAGCAAGATAGATTAAATTCCTTGGCTGTTTTATCCATTCACAGAGACGGCATTTCTGGGATACATGACTTTAATCAGCGCGTTATTGAGCATTTTGCTTCCAAGAAACCGCGGCGTGTTGCATATATGTTCAAGCAGTAGAAGTCTAGCAGCATATATATCTATGAGTGAGCGACGCATGTCCTTATCTTCGCATTAACTTTCCTTTCTTCATAGTAACGTTTTAAACCTTATTTTAGGTTTTGTCTGCTTTCCCGAAGTTTCTGTTAATATGTCATTTTATTTATCTGGGTGAATATTGCCTTTCCTTTTGAAAGAAATTCAAAATAAACTATGTCTATATTTATTAATCCCTTGACTTGGACCGGTTTTAAAGACACTTTCTTATCGTTAAAAATTGTCGCTTTTGCCGATTGGTTGTTACCTATGGAATGATTTTCATACTCATAAAATGATGGGAGAACTTACAGCGCTCATCCTGTCCCCGTAGATGGGGGTGACTTGGTCCCGCAGTAGCTTGCCCCGGTTGTCAAAATGACCACGCGCCACCACTGACTTTTTTATTATATATTGCAGTATTGGAATGAGATTTTATCGATTGAGTGGGGTGTAAACTGGGTAGCTGACACATGGAAGAATCGATTAATCCATCAAGTTTCTGCTTCGATTGACAATGTAAGTTGCTAGATGAAGGCAGATGTAGAGTCATCACTTTGACCAAACTTTTTTTTCACACCCGACAGCCTTTCACTTGTTCAATTCATATGTCGGTAATATTGCAAATTTCACATTTCAAACATTTGATTATAAATTTATAGTTTGTAGCATATTGTAGAAAAAGAATTGGAGGAATCAACGAGATTTTTAGATTTTCATGCAATGGATGTAGAACAGGGGTGCACAACCTTTTTGCTATTGGCGGCCACATTGCATTTATTTGTTTTCAATACGTCCTCCAGAAGGTTGAAGAGTGCGCCGAGGACGTAAGAAAAATTTATTTGGGCTTTTATGGCGTCATAACCGCTTATTTGACCCATGCGAGGTGCCGTCTGCCCAATTATGAAGTATGTAGGACTACTTGGAAGTATAATATTCGCATTCTAAACGAATTTTTCATTTCGGTGGACTCATTCTTGAGCAGATATATTGCAGCAAGTTGCATAATGGTTGCACAATTTTGAAAAAAATCGAAAGTCATAGAGGGGGGAGGGGTGGGCGGGCAGTGCTTCTGTTTTGCTTCAATATACGCCAGCATAGCCGATAAATCCTATATTTTCGCTTTTATTTTTATTTTTATAGGATTTTGTATGTGGACGCCCGCATTATTTTTTTACAACGGCCGCATGCCGTACAGCCGCATGCCGTACAGCCGCAGGTTGTGCACCGTTGATGTAGAAAGACTTTCAATGTAATAAGATCTTGTTTCTAAAACATCTTGATTAACTTTGTACTTATTCAGTGACAAATATTCGTTTACTTACTAACTATTATTCTATAATTCAATTTTGTCTCATATTTTTGTAGCATTTTTTGGAGAAAACAACCGCTCATGGAAAAATTGATGTTGAGAGATATTTAGATTTTTATGCAAATGATCTAGAAAGTTTGTCACTGCAGGAAGATCTTGAAAGAGTTATAGATCAAAAAGCTTATAAAAGTGCAGAAGATTTGTTGAATGATGTTGCAACGGTTTGTTTTGTATATCTTAAGTGCTTTTTATGCATCAATGTGTATTAATAAGTATTTCAGATACTAATATTTGCCTTTTTTATCATTTGTTATTGTTTATTGTGTTTTAAATCATTTTATTTCATTATTTTATACACTTGAAGAAAATGTCTGGTATAAATAAATTAAATAATAAATTTATTATGATCCTCAAAAATTGGAAATATGGTCTTAATATTTGAAAGCCATATATTAAAATTGTAATTCCAGTTATCAAACTTGATGTTAATCGATTATGATCAAATTACCAAGAGTCAGGCATGACTTTCAAAGAGCAAATAATAATATGAGATAAAATATGGGTATTATTTTTTTGATCACTTACATTTGATCATAATCTTATACGCTGTGTTTATAGCAGAAAAATGTCATTGGAAAATTGATTGGTTGGTTCAAAGCAAAGGTTGGCTTTGATGTTTCATCACCAAAAGTTGCCAAATTATTTGGAAAGATATTTTTGAAAGAGTATGACAAAGTGAAAGAAGTGAAAAAATCGGAATTGTCTTCATCAATAACTTTTCTTATGAATTGGTCTTTTTCAAATAAGTTTTATGAAGTTTTTGGTAAGTTAATTTACTATTTTCACATCTAGGCCAAAATTATCCATGTAAACAAACAATCAAAACAGTCTAATACTGCTTAATAACAGATTACTGCATTTTTTGAGTGACTTATTCTTGAAACTTAATTTAGAATAAGATAGGATTTACATATATATCCTGATGAAGAAAAAAATTATTAAGACCGTTTAATCATATGGCAAACCACTGTCTCTCATTCGGTTACCAGTCGATGTTGGGTAGGGAATTAGTTAGTCAGTTAGCCTACTTGTTTCAAAAGCATAGACTTGAAAATACAATCAGAAACTACATTATGACTGGACTTGATTCGATACTTGTTGATGTTGTTATTATACTGATATCTGATCGTCTCAATTTTTTTTAATTTAATCTTTCGCTTGTGTGAGTTTTTTTAAATTTTTGACAGCTTCAAATTCATTTGAAAGTTTCAAGCCATCAACAAGGAATATCATTGAAAAAGTTTCAAAGGATTTCAATGAAGTCGTTAAAAGTTTGCATTCTAAAACAATTATTGTGGAACATCTTGAAATTATTTTAAGGGATAAAGACAAGTTTTATTTACTTGTGTCCGTTCTATGTCCACAAAAGGTATCACACAATTAAATTCGATTTTCAATGTAGTAGTATATCAAGTTGCTTTTAAAAAGATTTTAAGTTTTTTTAAAATTTAACAGAATAGTGAATTTAAAATGCATAATTGAAAAATCTTCAACCAATGCACACTTTCAATATTATTGAATCACATAGTCCTGATATGAATGATTGAGAGTGTAAAGTCCCATTATCAAATTATCAAAATATTTAACTGTGTTCGTGAATTTCAAGAAAATTTTTCAGTATTTCGAATTTTTTATGCAAATATGATGAACCTCAAAAGATTTGAAATGAACTATTTGCATCATATTAGCATTAGATCTAATAGAAATATTCAACGGTACATCAACTTTCAATAGGTATCCAGTTCATCAGTTGACAAATCTCTGACTGAAAAAATATCAGTTGAAATCTGTGAATATTATCTTGAGGTTTTTAAGTTAACCAAGTCGCATGTTTTGGATTTCATCACCATTTGCAAATTGATTCAATTCGGTAAGATTCATGCGTGATTAACAGTTTTCGTACCATTACTTTCATATTATTGATTTTGTTATTTTGATTTCATTTCTTAGCAGGATATAATAATGCTTGGTTAGGAGTTTGAATTAGGTAGTTTAAAAATATTTAGGCATTGTTGGGAATTGATAGAATGTACTTTATTTGGAATTAGATGGTTGGATGTTATTGCCACGGTTGGATGTCATGCAATTTCAAGATAAGATGGAAAGAAAACACCAAATGACAAAAATAACAGACCTTGTAGAAATTCATGAAAAGGGAAAAGCATCTAGTTTTGAATATTTTGGTTTAACCCAAGAGACACATGAAGAGTTAATACAGTTAGTTTTTTTAAAGGTATAGAAAATATCAACCTAAAGAAATTAGATAAATTACATTTTTAATAACGTGAAATATTGTTAATGTAAACATGATTTGGGTTTGATGATAAGATTTTACTGGTAAGAGTAAAACATTTTGAATTTGACATCTAATTTATTTACCTGTGCACAGTATATATGAATATATGGAATTTTGACTATTGCATAATTCATATAGTATATTTTTTCATTTAAACCGAAACATAGGACAGTTGGATATTTCGTGGATTGTTCAGGCAATTTGTTGATGAAACACCAACCAGAGATGAAATTAATTCATGGGAAAACATTCTTGATTTATGGAAAACTACTAAAAAACGACTTTTAAATATTGTGGAGCGAATTGATGATGGTTTGTATAAATATTAATATAATGTAAAAATGCTATTTGATGGACACAATTTAATATTTTTTTATTGTATTCATTTCTATTTTTGAATGTAGGAAATGTTACATTGGAAGAAGTTACAACACATTTTTTTGAACTGGGAGAAGATGAAAAACTGATTGACCAAGAAGTTGATTTGCTTTATAAATTTTACTTGAAGGCTGTTCAAACTGAAGATGGTATGTGGTTTTTTAGTTCGATTTTATATTCAATTTAGTCAATGAACTTTAAACACACCAGAATAAAATAACCCATTAAAGTCATCTCAGACCATTCAGGTACAAATTAGGGGTAACTTAGGGGATATGATGCAAATTCTGGAATTACATTCATTTCAGCAGTTTTAGTCATATTACTGTTAAAGTTAGGTTGTTCAACATATCTTAGAATGACTGTACAAAATACTTATTGCTCATTATTTCTCTCACAAGGTATAATATGCCAGATGTAATTTTAGACGGAAGATTTATACAATTTTTGGAAAGCTGAAGTGAATTGAAACCAATCACTTATTATGTTTATTCATTTCAGATGATTCTTCAGCAATAGATCATACTGAGAACAGTCTTAAAGGACACAAATTATCAACTCATTTAAAACTCCGCCAAAAACAAATTTACAATGTATTTCAATCTCAGAAATTCAATGATGCAATAAATATATTACTGGACTTGAAAGAAATACTTGACTTCCAAGGAAATTTTGTTGAGCTTTTGGAGAGAAAAGTACGATGAACTCATTTTTCTATATTTCTAATGATAACAGTGAATATTGCACAATAGTTAAATATTTTTTTTTGTTTTCAATTTCCCTTAACTGCAGTTTCATATTTATGCTTTTCTTAATTCTTATTTTCTGTTTTTCATCACATTGTTATGCCCTGTATTAATATATCGACAACTAGATAAAACACTGCTCCATTATTATTTGTATTGAAGGTATTTATTAGTGATATAACCATGTAAATTTAATTATCACTAACAATATCTTTGAATAGGAAATGATGGAAAACCAATCTGAAAAGCTGTTGAAAAGCATTCCAGAATTGTTAAATCATTCTAAAATATGTGATATTGATGAACACAAGCAAATCTTATTGAAAATGTTTGTGGAAAATATGGAGTTTGTTCAGTGGATTCAAGAATATATGAAAGGTGGTAATTTGAATTACTTATAAAATTTAATAGCAAAATAAAAGTACTATAATAATTAAGCTCATCAAGCACTGCGAGCATATTTGTAAGGATGATGTCTATTTTGAGCACTTAAAAAGAGGGTTTTCCCATATAACCCCCCAAAAGGATGGGCAGGATAATTATTTCTCTGTTGGTCAGTTAAACACCAATATGCCGTTATAATTTTAAATGGTTAGAACCAGGTCATTTTCGTAGAATCTCACAGAATTATCTATTGCGAAGAATAAAGCGGTAATTCAGCATTAAAAAGGTAGCAGCAATCATATTCAACAACCCATTAACTGGAACGTTGATATATCTTGTGAATATTTTTCAATATGTACACTGCACTGTAATTTGGGTTAGTTAACTAACAGCTGTGTTGCCCAGTCTGGTATTGTTTTTCCTCGAACCGGCAATCACTTTATCGTTTTTGAAGTACCGATATAGGGCATAAATAGGAAGTGCTTCACCGCTCAAGCCCGAGTCACACACATTATGATTGCCATTAAGTTTTTGAAAAGAATAAGACAAATAACAGCTCGCAGTACAAAGTCAATTAAGCAATAGTAGCCGTGATTGGCAGACCATTTGCTGTTGAATACATTATAGAAGAGTGGTTCTAAAAACTTTTTGAATAATTACGCAGAACGGTCCTCTTACTATTTTTCTAATGACTCCCGGTCGACTGAAGAATTGAAAACAAATAGCATCGCGGTATATCAAGCATTAATCTATTGAATGACATTGAAACAGTTCAATGAGATGGGTGCGCCTGCTCGGCTTCCACTAGTTCTTCTTTCTTGGATGATGCAACTCTCATATCGTGTCTCACATCCATTCTGTTTCTACATTTCTGTTTTAATAGCGAGTAACTTAGAAAAAGCGAACTCACATTTGTAAATATGCAAATGGAATGAGCACTTTTAGTGCCATCTTAGCGGGCTACCACTTCAAAATGAGATGTTCTTATTCAGACAAAAGTGGTAGCTCTGGACAGTGCTATTTCAATCCAAAAATCCCTGCGGGACATGTGCTGGAGATTTTGTTTTGCACCACCATCACTCACAAAATCGATGAACTGTTTTTGAATTAAATTGTCCTCCGAAGGTATATCGCTAACAGTGTTCGGTAGAGCGTATCGTTTTTTGGAGGAATACTGTAAAAGTTTGACATCAGAATTTTACTTCAAATCAAAGTGCTTCTGCGCCGAGATTGAAGTTGTCTCGCCTAAGCGACCGCGGACCTCAGATTGAGAATTTGAGAACCCATGTTATAGAATATATCAACCCAGATATTAAGTTTACACAAATCATGCTTGAGAAGTCTTTTTATGCAAAAAAATAGGCCGTCGCCTGAAAAAAAATAAACATAGCCGCCCGTTTCCCCCCCCCCCCCCAAAAAAAAATCAGACTAAAAAATTGGTTCCAGGAAAGCGTCTTAATTGACAGAAAATACGGTAATAATATTGACGTACTCTTTATTTCAGACATCAAGGAATTGAATACATTTTGTGAATTGGGGATGATTTCTGCTGGAGACAACACAATTGACTTAGATCGAATTTCATTTATGCTCGGTGTGGTCAATGTTTATGCTCCATTAATATTTTGGAAACATTACAATCCAACTGCATTGGGAAATGAGGAAGATAGTGAATCAGAAAATTGCAAGGAACCCACAAAAGAAGATATGGGCTTTAATGATTTGTTGGATAGATGTGATCAAGTCTGGAAACATTCTCAATCAATTGACAACTTGTCTGAAAAATGGGTATGCTTTAGTACAACCACAATTTGATACAGTAGTACAAATGCAAGTATATCATTAGTTTTCCATATGATTAAGCCGCCTTATCGACTTTCCTATCCCTTGGGATGAATAAGTAAATCTTATCCTATCATGAGAATTGATATAAATAATATATAAGACATTTGTTTTATATATTGAAAAACTTACTTATTACTTTTTTTCTTTATTGGTATTTTCTGTTTATGCTGAGTATTTTATCAGAAAACAATACTTTTCACATTGTACATACATCAGCATGAACTTGTTTCTATTGTTTAAAAGTGAATGTATGAAATTGTATGTAAAATTGTTATAAAACTTTATTAATTTGGTTATTTGATAATGTTTGAAGTTGGAATATCTAATTATGTTCAAAAATACCATGTAGGAAGATACCTGCAAACAACTTCCATGGTTTAAAGATCTTGGACAACTCCATGGTTCAATTGAAAAATTATCATTGACTCGGGCACAGGAGATCAATACTAGTGGAATATATACAATTGAATGCAACGAAGAAGCAATGCTACCAAATTTGGAAAATTGTTTGAAACTGTCTCTTCGTCATAGTTCTCGGAGTATGGTCTTTGAGATTTTTTTAATATTTTTTATTTACGGTAGGTTTATTCTTTTCTCACAATTTAATGCTATAAAATAGACTCAGTTCAAGTGATGAATTTGGAGGAATTGAGAGATTTGCAATCGAAACTGATGTTGATTGCGGGAGAAGCTGAACAAGGACGACATGAAGTAAATATGTTCGTGGAAGTTCTGGCATCTGTTGAAAAATTAACCCAAGTTTATGTCAACTTACTTGCCTCTGGATGTATGTTATTTTCCAATTGGAGTGCTAATATCATGTAAGATTTTATTTCAAATTTATTTAGATTTTGGATTTTACAAATTCTTCACGAAATATTTTTCTTCATTTATATTTCTGCTATCTATTTATAATATAAAATGGAATAGCATAATGGAGAAGCTGAAATGGAAATATATTCATGAATATTTACTTAAAATAAGTGTAGAAGAAGACAAACTTAAATTGAAAAACAAAAATGGAATCTCATTCATAAAGATGAAATAAAACCATTCGAAAACTTCGACAATAAAAAACTTCGAAAACTAGATTTCAGGAAACTGTTCATGTTTCGACGGATTCTTTTTCAGCTGCTGTGAAAGCAAAGCGAACAAAAATCTCCTGCTACAGATAAAATTTGCAAATAATATTTCACCTGTTTGTGAAAACATGGATTGTTTGGACTTGAACAAACTTACTAAAATTATGAGTGAAACCCTTGAAAAGTGAGTAATATAACTTGTAAATGTATAGTTCTACATTACTTTATTCTGACTTTTTTAACCTTTGAAAGCATCATATATTCATCAACTGATATTTTGGTTTATATGTGTAATATTTCTTTAGGTGGAATCAATATGTCACAGAAAAAAGAATGGAATATTATTATCTGAATGAATTCAACATTCAACAAATTCTCTACCTTAGCCAGCAACTATGTCTTTTCAAGAAAGAAAATGTACTTTCAGAACAGGTTGGTTTTATTGCCTTGTTGTCTATCATAGTTTTAATATTTTTTCTTGAACTGAGCAATCAGCAACCTATGTCTGTTTCTAGGTTAGAATGCTTTTAACTTATGTTCAAAAAGAGTTCACACCAGAACAACTTGAGAAAAGCTTAGAAGAAGCTACTGAAATATATCAGAATTTGAAAAGAAATTCAGCGTCTCTAGGTATATATATATATTATTTTTATATAGTTATTTTTAAAAGAGTTTTGTTTTATAATTTAATTTGTATGTCTAAATAATTAAATATGTCTAAAATAATTAAAAAATGGGAATTAAGGTATTTTCCGCTACAACTGAGTCAACCAAATCATAAACTATTTTCATATTTTTTTGCAAAAAAAAATGACTATGAAGTCCTGAGTTACCATACTTTGCACAGGACCTTGTCTGAGAATCATTATCAAAACTACTAATTATCTTTTATATAATGTATGGTGCGTGCTTTTCTTTCTTCTACTTTTAAAATTCTTTCAGATTTCAAGAAATTTCTCACTACTCTGGTGCAAGTGCTTTCTGGTTTACTATTGGCCCAGACCCTATATTTTACCAAAAATTTTACTCTTTGATTTCACTTTTTTGAGATCCTGGATTACTATATTCTGTTGTCGCCAATCTCAGCAGCAAACACAGTTCTCAGATAATGCTTACTGTACCGGTATAGATGCACATAATTCATTTCCATATATTTGATTTTAAAATGCCTTTTACTTTTGAAAATTTAAACATATAAAAACTTATTAACATTGAAAAACTTATATATGATAAAAGTAACAGAAGATATATATTATATATGTATACATAAATGAAATAATCTAAGAATATTTCCTCTCTTCTGCGCTGTTTCACCTTCTTCTGTGCTCTTCGCGCTCTTCTGTGAGCGCTGTATTCAGTAAGTAGTAAGACCGGAACCCAACGTAGATATCGCCAATTTTGAGACATTTTAGCCACCTTTTGACGCACTCTTGTTCGACACGTTGCAATAAATCTTGTGTAACTAGTCTACATTTTGCTATAATTTTTTGTTCCAACTCTTCAAGGTTTTAAGGTCGTGTGTAAACTTTACTCTTAAGGAAACCCCAAAGAAAAAAGTCACATGAGGTTAAGTCAGGTGAACGAGCGGCCCATTCCCGGAACCTCTGCGCCCGACCCACTTATCAGGAAAAAACTGATTTGATGTAATCTAGGACTTTCCTGGCGTAATATGCAGCAGCTCCATATTGTCGAAATTACCGATAACAGTTTTCAACTAAAGCATTATTTCTGAGCTCTGGTAGGAAAAAGTTTTGGACTATTTCCAGATATGCTTTCTCTGTTACAGTTGTGGTTCTTCTGGCATCATCACGAAAAAATAATCAAGCTTCGATAAATCACGCCCTTTTTCCTCGATTACCATAGGATGTTCTGTTCTTCATATTCGAGTATTGTGTCGGTTTACTCATCCAGACAGATGAAAAACAGCTTCATCACAAAACCAAATGTTGTCAGGGATGGATGGATTATTTTCAAAGTGATATGTCAGCGTTTCACTCATTTCTACCTTGCGATCATCATCTTCTTCTTCAAGTTTGTGTACAGTTTGCACGCTTTAATATCTTTGCGAAACATTCATTGAAGAGATGATCGGCTGATCTCCAGTTCCACTGCTGCACGACGTATGGATTTTTCTTGACTCAATGCATATGCCTCTACTAAAACATGAATATTTTTCAGATTCAGATTTTCGTACATCAACCACAGATCCAGTTTACATAAATTTACGATGAATTACATAAATTGTTCGTTGCGTAGGAGCCAAATAATTTCAAATTCGCTGTTAAAGAGGCGCTGAGTTTGCCTTACTAATTTATATGCTTTTTGCCAAACAGCAAATTTGCACCTCATTTCTTGGGTTAATCTCCTTGTTATTCTGTAGGTTGATGGAAAATACAAACAATATCTAAATTTTACTACTTATCCACAATATGTTTTCTGAAGAAATGAAAGCTCTATGATGAGTACCTAAAAAGCAAATCGAAATTAAAAGTGTACACTTACTTTTGAGACCCTGTATTCTCACACCATCAATGCCATTTACTTACCAATTATTCATTTTACATTTATCTGTCTTATTTTAAAAGGCTCAAATAATCAAACTTCAAGTGAGAAGAGTGTGGAGAATAAAGATCTGAGTGTAAATAAGCCAGGTAATTAACTTATCATAATATTTTACAATATACTAATTTTCACCATTCTATTGTCACAGACAGTAAATATGATAGACTAATTGTGATAATTATGATAGTCAAAGTTATGAATAATGAAATTTCATTAACTGCAACATGACATACAGCTTTTTATTCCTACCGTGATATCGTTAGTTAAATCATGTTTGTTTATAAAAAAAACAATATTAGAGCTGTATTGAGATTTTCGAAATGATGTATGTATTTGATGTATGTATGTAAATGATGTATTCAAATTAAATATTATAATTTCCAGTGAATTGAATTTTTTTGATGTATATTTTATATATATTGCTAATTGTTTTAGGAGAAGCAGTACAGGAATTGACCTTTGAAAAAGAACTTGACATCATCAAAACTTTAACTTCTCAATATGTGGTTGGTGAAGAAGTTGCAAAAGCTGCGTTGCAGTCCGAGGGCTGTGATAACATTGATGATCTAGAACACTGGATATTGGTGAATTCATCTGAAAAAGACTTAATATCAGAACTGTGTAAACAATTTGATGAAGCTGTGGGTGAGAGGCCTATTTTTACAAAATTTTGTACATAATACATTACTAAATCACTAATAAAAAGTTTTCTGATCATCAATTTACTTAAAATGTTTAGCAAAATATTAATGATCGTGATATGTTTTGCAGCTAAATCTATTTATTCCTCAGAAGAAGATGCTGGAAACCAAGAATATATTCATTCTGAACAATACGGTGAGTGAAAGTTATTGTGCTCAGTTTTTGTGGGTCTGCTTTGATAAAAAATGATATTGCCTTGATTTGTAATGCCTGACAAGAAGTGCTGATTATCTGTGTGTGTTAAAACATTTATGTCACTGTTACAGTATAGTGCATAGTGCATACCTACTTGTTAATGATGGCTTCCTCCGTACAAGGAACTGGTTAGCTACTCCGATGAACCAAGCTGTCGGCCTGGTCTGGTAGATGAAAGGCTGTGGTGCACTACATTAATTTTTTTTATCAACTTCATATTCTATGTTCTCATAAATCGCCCAGAAATAAATTAATAGCAGATTCTTTCAGTGTGGTAAATGGTCATCTTAAAAAATGTTCGAATTATGATAAAGAGGTAGTCATTTATATTTAAAGCATTATACTTGTTCGTAAATTGTACCACTTATACCCCCTGCACCATGTATAACATTTGTACAGTACTTATTCCACTACCAGCATGATATTTATAATCCATGTATTTATTTCGTAAGCATAATCTATATCCTCTTTTCGGGGTTTCAGAGTTGAAACACAAGTTGAATCTTGTGCACAAATTAGCTGTTCAGCATGGTGAAAATGCTGCAAAAGCGGCTGTGCAAGCAGAAGGTTGTGTTGACATTGATGATTTAAACTATTGGATATTGGAACATGAATCAGACCAGAATACTATATTGGAACTTAGTAAAGCATTTGGTGAAAGCATTGGTGAGTTTGCTAAAAGAGAACACGCATTTGTGTACAATACAATAATAAATATGCAGATGATTCAGTTTATTATTTTTACTGTTCTTCATAAAATGTTTCATTATTTTAAGTATTCACTGTATACCTACATTGAACTGCTTGTCAAAGCTGTTATTTCACAATTATGAAATATAGTATAATTTTATTCAGAATTGCTTCAAATAGACGAAAAAGACATCCAAATAATACCTTTGGGGCTGACACCTAATCAAAACACATTATTGGATGTAATTCGAAGATTACAAGAAATTAATCAAGTTGATGAAAAAAATTCTGTTTTAAAAATTGTCAGTACAATTTGTGATAGATATTTGGATGAAGCAATTGTAAGTCAATTTTATCTGAAGTGAAGTGTTTATAAATTAACAATGGTGACGATATTTGCTTGTTGTATTACAAAAACAAAAAATCTAAACAATGTCACTGTATGTATTTTTTTTAATTATCTTCGCTATAGCCAACGACCCTAAATTTCATTTTCAAGACACGTTTCCAGCTAATATCTTTCAACCAGTTGTTTAGTAAGTAGTATTATTTTAGGGTATATTCAGTGGTGAGCTGTAGCCGGAACGCAGCGGAACGGCGTTCCGGTTGTTGGACATTTTATTGCATTTGCGTTCCTGTTGTTGAAATAAAATTTTGGTACAAAAAGTCTAGTTTCTCTGGTAAACCTAGTCATTAACTTACATTTTGTTACATCATAATTCTTTTTACATCACATCACACAAATAATTAGTACATAAGTAATGTGTAATAGATGTTTCCCCGACATTTGACCCGCTGAAATTCATCCTATACCTCTTTAATAATAACATTTGTATTGAATTGTTATGAATATTCTTGCAATGTTACACAGACATATTTCAGATAATTTCCTCATATTTCATTGCAGCTCTTCGGCTCTATCTTAGGACAGACAGTTATTTGTGTAAGTCGTGTTGTAAATATATATATATATATGACAGTTTTGCGAATTAGGTGCTTTCCGGTTGTTAGTATTTTTCCAGCTCATCACTGGGTATTTCCCTTTCTCAGTTCATGCAGTTTATACCTGTGTAATGTGTGACTCATTTCACATACATTCTCAATTCCACAGGGCATTGATCTTCAAGATTCTATCAGCATTGAGCACCTCGGATTGTTTCTGGATATTTTGAGTAAAACTACTGCTGATAAAATTTATCGTGAATTACTGTCTGGTCTTAATCATGGACAACCAAATGTACTGATTTGCAATGGAGATGAAATTTTGCCAACCGTCCTCTCTCTTTACCTGAAAAGTGCTAACCAGCCTCTTCCATCCTCATCTGAAGTTGTTATTTGTAATGAGGACACTACTGCTGATGAAGTTGATAGATTTATGAGAAGGGCAATGTGTGATTCTTCCAGAAATGGTATGTTATGACCTTTGATCTCAAACTTGTGATTCACATAGATATAAGTTGAAACTAGATTGTTGAAACTATAAATGTATCAGCTAGTTAACCAAAGTTAGTTTTTTGCAGGTCAGTGTTTGTACACCCTCGCATTTGCTGATAAATTGAGATTGGACATTTCAACTTCATTGGAGCGGCTTTTTGGTGAATTAACAAGCAGAAAGGAGAAATTGAATGAAAGTTATCAACTAGTGATTCTGTTAAGTGAACAGAAACATTACCTAGCCACATGTTTTGACAAGGTAGTTGCAAACATAAGTTTATTGGGTATTCTGGATGTATGTGAACCAAGATGGTGAACACCAGAACGTAGTATGTGTACTAGGTTAGGGTTAGGCCATAATTTCAAGTACAAATACTACGGTAGTCAATTGGCTAGTCTCCTAACTCGTAATGGAACTAAAATAAGATAATTTGGGATAAAATTATGGCCTAACTCTAATTTGGTACACATACTAAGTCAGGGTGTTTGCCATCTTGGTTCACATACTTTGGTAATACCATTTATCGCCGTTATTTCAACACTATGTTATAACAATGGCAATGCCACGTAGTCAACCAGTGCTATAATTTGTAAAATGGTAGTGCAAATCAGGCATCACAGATTGAAAATATATTGATTTTACTCAGTATGTTGTTGATGGTAAATGGAGTAGCACAACAAAAGAAATACAAACTTATCTCAAACGTCATCTAAAAGTGAAATCCATCAGTGCTGCAGGCATTGTAGAAGAAAAGTTTGTTGTGAAAGTCGTTGGCTCAAACAGATCTGGAGTTGGTATGGAAAGATCTGATATTCTATTTATTCTATTCAATTAGTTCAATCACAGTTCAAGTATGTGAATTTTCTGTGAAAGTTGACCTAATGTAATGAATTAGAAAGAAACTGAGTACCTTGATATACGGTTTTATTCAATTGAATCTAAAGCATAGCTAGAATGAATATAATGAGTATAAACACAGCATAGGTAATTGTTACTGACTGAATAAGAAAACATATACGGGTATGTAGGCAATATATCATAAACTCACACCATTTTGCTGAAAAAATATTGATGGATAACTTAATTAAGTTAAGACTAATATTGAGAAATCATGAACGATGCTTTGTATGATTCTTTTCCAGGGAAATCTCTCCATGTGAAACGACTGAAACAAAAATTTGAAAACAATAAGGAAAACACAAAAGGTTATACAACTTCGATACGACTGCTTGAAAATAAACTGAGTTATGATTATGTGATAGATGAGCTTTATCAAGCGTACACAGATAAATATCATTTCAAGAATGAAGATATGATGTTGGCTCATATAGATATTACTCCAGCTGTAAGAATTTTTCAGGCTTGAGCTCAATTGTATCATTTATTTCTTCTAGTATTGCAAAGTCAGAATGATAAATAAAAGTGAAGTGGAATCTACAAGATTGCTGATTCAGTGTTTGTTTACCATTGTTACAAAAATGCATTCTGATGAATCCGCCATATGTTTATTATTCTTAACTGTATAGAATTTTCACTCTGGAAACTTTAAAATAAATCAATTCTCAAATTAAATTTGTAGCGGATTTTACATCTAATATTTTATACAAATTGGGAATACAAAAATTATGTTTTATATTAAACTACAGGTGCAATTTGGTATTGAAGAATTCATTTTTAAATTTTTTGTGCTTCGAAATATTCAAGGAAGAAGAGGAAATATCTGGACTGTAAATTCAAATCATTTTTATGCCATTGAAGTAACTGATTTTTTGTCTCAGGGAAAGGTGAATATTGAACAATTTTTATTTTTTGAATGACATATGTTTTTTTTATTTTATACATTTACTCGTATAAAAAGGTATATGTAATATATAAAGTATATATCATCCTTCTACTTTTGTTCTACGTACTGTTTGTAGAGTTATTTGTGCAATTGAGTAAATTTTTTAACGCATAATTTCTATTTAGTGAACACTGAATCATTTTTTATTTTTAACAGAAAAAGTTTTTCAGCAGACATATATTGAATCTATTACCTGGTGTGAGATGTCTTTCTCCACTTGAATCTTACAGACAAGATCCGGTACAATCAGACAAGTGTATTGGAATGGATGAAATTGAATTTCTTTCAGAAAAATTCCAACGACCATATCAGTATTTGTTAAAGCTTGAAACTAACGAAGATTTGGATTCATTTGCATATTCAAAACCTAACAGTAAGTGCCTAATAAAAATTGAGCGAACAAAGTTTGTTTTGAAGTGGGATGAGCAACAATAAATTACATAATACTATCTTATTGACTAAAAAATATAAGTAATGATGAAAGAAGAAAAATGAATTAAATTAACCTTCTCTCTATAAACCTACAATATTTGTTTAGCTGTATGCAGCTTAAAAGTTTTTGAATTATCATTAATTTGTCACAATTACTGCTTCCATGGTTGATTTTTCTCATTTACGAAGTTTTCTATTTGAACAACACATGAACTGTATTTATTTATACAGTGGATTCAAGGCTATGCATTGAAGTTCTTCTTCGTCATTGCTGCATGAAAAATCCATCATGGGCACAACTCCATCATTTTTGCAGTTTTCTCAATGTTCAGCTTGAAAACTGTGAGAAATCAATTTTTTGTACCAACCCAATTTTTAAACCAGAACTTGATGGATTGAAAGTATTTGCAGTTAAATTCATGATCAAAATGGCTCAAGATTTTGCTACTCCTTCATTGAAAATATCTGATACTAGTATGTCTGATAGCAGCCATGAGGAAACTGATGTCTTTCAGAATTATCAAATACGTAGAAAGTGGGAAGAATCAGCTCATGCTTATTTGTTCTTTAATGACGATCGTAGAACATTCACATTTATAAATGTGAAAATAAATGATGATGGTCATCTGTTGGGCTCCAATGGTGTTATTGTGGAACACAATATTGCTCCAACTGGTTTAGTCCAAGGAATCAAACTTCAGCAGATAGATTTGGAAACAGATTTTGACGCTTATCCACGAGAAGAAAAATTAAGACGTTTGCAACGCGTTTTAGGCTTAGTTCAAGATGATTATGATCCTGATCCCACCTATGAACTTACAACTGACAATGTGCTAAAGATTCTTGCAATACATATGAGATTTCGATGTCAGATTCCTGTAATTTTAATGGGGGAAACAGGATGTGGAAAAACAAGGCTTGTTGAGTTCATGAGCAAATTGAAAGCTGGAAGACCAGAAGCTAGAGATACACAAGTGTGTAATATGATTACCTTGAAAATACATGGAGGAATAACAGTTGAAGACATTCAAGAAAGCGTTCGAAAAGCAAAGGAATTGGATGAAATTAATGAAAAAGAGCATGATTTGTCAACAGTTTTGTTCTATGATGAGGCTAATACTACTGAGGCAATATATGCAATAAAAGAAGTCATGTGTGACCATAGCATTTCTGGAAAATCGTTCAAAGATTCAAACTTATGTTTTGTTGCAGCTTGTAATCCTTATAAACAACTATCTAAGGAAGCGATTGAAAAGTTGGAAAATTCAGGTTTGGGTTATCAGATTCATTCCAGCAAAACAACACACTTATTTGGCAACATTCCTGTCCGTACACTTGTGTACAGAGTGGTAGCTTTACCTCCGAGTATGCAACCATTTGTTTGGGATTTTGGACAACTCAACGACCAGGCTGAGAAAATATATATAGAGCAAATGACAAGAAAACTTGCAACTACTCTCAATCTAAGTCAAAGGGGAATTCTGATCATCAACAATGTTCTTTCAGAATCTCAAAAATATATGAGACGGCAGACGAGTGAATGCAGGTTAGTGGTTTATTAATAATGTTATTATATGTAAAATATTCAGTTTGATATTACATTTTCTCATTACAATAAATTATTTTTGAATATCTAAAATATCATTTTCGACAGATATGTTAGTCTTCGAGATGTAGAAAGATGCATGACAACGTTTGAATGGTTCTACAGTCACAGTGATAAAATCTATCTTCATGTTGGAAATGAAGTTTGGGAGCAATGTGAAAGACAAGATAAAGAAGTGCCTGAAATTGATGAGGAAATTCGTACTTTAATCCAGACTGTTGGGGTTTGTTATCACACATCACTAGAGGATAGAAAATCTTATCGAAATCTATTGGAGAAGTTGTTGAATATAAAAGATGTCGATGCAAATTACATAGGAATTGAGTTAGCAGCATGTCAGTCTGTTTTTCTGCGCAATGTGAGAATGGAAGATAACATTGCATGCAATGAAGCTCTCCGTGAAAATGTCTTCATGATAGCCATATGCGCTGATATGAAAATTCCCCTGTTTTTGATAGGAAAGCCGGGAAGCTCTAAATCTCTTGCTAAAACCATTGTTGCTAATAACATGGATGGACCATCCTCATCCGCTCCGATATACAGAGATTTGAAGAGGGTAAGTAACTTGTGTCACAAAAGCAGAGTGTTTTGAATTGTGTTCATAATAATTACCTCCGATTCGAAAATTTTTATTCCAGATGCAAATTATATCCTTCCAATGCAGCGCGTTGACAGATGCTGCTGGAATTGAAAGAGTATTTTTTCAAGCCGCTCAATTGCAAAAAGATGACCAGTTTAATTCTTTTACCGCTGTTGTAGTTCTTGATGAAATAGGATTGGCTGAGGACTCACCCAATATGCCATTAAAAGTAAGACTTTTTTGTTTTGCAATATTGATATGTGTATTGTTTGGATGGTGTCTCAAAAATGTTATCAATGTGTATGTGTCCCATTTTTACCACTACTGAATTAAGGTGGGTATATATTATGGTTTTGGAGCAAGTGGTTAACATGAGCATTTAAGATGGGTTTTATGCTTTGTTCTGGGTTAGAGTTTTACTTTTATCACAGTGGGATAAAAGGGACATAACATTTCTGAGACATCTATGTTTAGGTGTATGAATAAATAATGTTTGTCTTATTTGTACCATATATAATAGCAAATCTTGCTTTCAGGTTCTCCATCCACTTTTGGAACGCAGAAGTACTGATCTGACCACTGTTTCTCATAGTGACCAACAGAAAGTTGGATTTGTAGGAATTTCAAACTGGGCACTTGACCCAGCTAAAATGAATCGAGGTATCTTTTTAATGAGAAACAATCCAACAAATGTTGATTTAAGAAAGACTGGTAAGGAAATTGTTCAAAACAAGAGAATTTGGAAACAAAATGAAGAGATGTTTAAATGCTTGACTGCATCATATCTTGAGTTCTACCGAAAACAAAAGAGAGAATATTTTGGCTTGAGAGATTATTACAGTCTCATGAAAATGCTCTGTGCAAAATGCAGCACTTCATGTCCTGATATTTCTGCCGAAAAAGTTTTGTATGTGATACTTCGTAATTTTAGTGGAGGCAATGAAACATTTTCCCAAAGTCCGGATCTGCAAAAATTGCTTGCTGATTGTGAATTAACGAATATTAATGTTAAAGATATGATTCTTGACAATCTTGGTGAAACAGAAAGCAGGTTTTTACTTCTTTTGGTGAATCAATTCTCTGTGATCAGTCTTTTGGAAACTTTTGTTGAGACCGCATACAAAGATATTCACATTGTTTTTGGATCAAGTTTCCCAGGTGATCACAGCTATACTGAAATTTGCAGGAACATAAATCGAATCAAAGTGTGTATGGAGACAGGTAAAATAGTTGTACTGCTGAATATGTCTGAGATACATGAATCCCTGTATGATACTTTGAACCAACATTATTCAACATTTGGTGGCCAAAACTATGTTGATCTCGGTCTTGGAGGTCATAAAGTTAAGTGCAGAGTCTCAAAAAAATTTAGATTGATTGTGATTGAGAAGAAGGATGTTGTTTTTGAACTTTATCCCATTCCATTGATAAACAGACTTGAGAAACATTATTTTGATTCAAAAAGTTTATTAGATAAATCTGCAAATGAAACTGTAGAAAAATTAACTGAGTGGACAGATAGATTCACGAAAATTGATGAGTTCAACCAAAGGGATGCTTTTGTTGGTTTCCATGATGATACAGCATGTTCCATTGTGCTTACTAAAGATGCGCCTTTGAAAGAATGTCAAAGCATACTTTTACAGTCTTGTGCTGTAGATGCTATTTTGAGATTGTCAAGATCGGAACTTTGTCCATCAGATATTGAATTTGCTCAGGATGAGTATTTTAAAAATCAACAGCATGATAAGCTTTCTGATGTTTTGCAAAGTCACATAAAGGATCAACAGGATTTTCAATTTTTAGAGATAGTGTCATATTCAGGCATATTATCTGAAACTGATCAAAAGGAGTTGGTGAGACAAATTGGAGATGAAGATATGGAAGTCAACATCACAAGATGGTCTCTTGAATTATTTCAAACTCAACAAGAATATTCAAACAAATTAGATAAATTCTTTAAGAAATGCAGTCCAAAAATCAACAAATCTGATGACAACAAATCACATATTTTGCTCATTCAGTGTTCTCAAGCACATGTTAATACCTCACTGATTAGCTGTGCGAAGCATTGTTTGATGAATAAAATAAGGGAATTCCATATGCTTAATTTTGAAGGTTGTAATAAAGTAATTGTTGCCTTGTTGCTGTCGACAGAAAGAGACAAAAGAGACAAAGATGGCAAAAGAACAGAAACATTTATGCTTCAACACACACCAGAATCTCAGATTATTTATGTAGATGACTTGCGTTCTGATAGATTCATCGCACCTGTAACACAATTTTTTGGAAAATCATTGAGTGAGGTTTTTGAGATTGTAAAAAATGCATTTGATGATGAAATAAGATGTGGACTCATCAATATCAAAACTTTGCTGAATGAATCAGTCTCTGAAGCTGTGTCGAAGGTACAAAATGAGACTGGAGATAATAGCCGTTACTTTCAACGCATACAAATCCTGAAACATCTTATTTCTGGAAACACAATAGCTGGGAAATTTTTTTACAAAATTTTTCTTTCAAAAATTGAAGAAATGTTTGCCCAAGAGGATCAGCATAAGGAAGCAAATGATTGGATTGTGACTGAAGCTCAAAAGAGAGAAAATCTGCAAGAAGGTGGAACATTCAACAAAACTTTATGGCTCTGTTTGAAACGTCATACTTCAAATTTTCTTGCATATGTCATCAGCGTCGCTGATCGCTACAACAACCTGAGTATCATTTTTAATAAAAAAGTTGATTGGAAAGTTGATGTATGGCTGAAAATGTTTGAGCTCCTTGAAATACCAAATCTTTCTGAGATATCGGTTCCAAAATTTACAATTTCTCTTCCAAAACACCTGAAGTCATCAGAACACTGTTTGTTCCCATTTAGTTTTGAAATTATCGAGTTTTTTAGGACTGGGTTTTTGACTTTAAAATCAGAACATTCTGAAAACTTGACTGAAATTCTTACAGGATTGTTCAGAAACGAGAGGAAGAAAATGCACGAAATAGTTTGTCAGGCTTTAGATATTTCAACGCTAAGTGTCATGAAAGCTTTTGCATCTGACGTTGTAATGACTTTGTTTACACCTTGTTTGGATGAAGCTGACTTGATTAAAGAAGTGCTTTTTACAATGTCAAAAAATAGGTATGAAAGAGCCAGATATGAAACAGGTTTTACAAAAGGTGATGAAATTGCTATTGTGTTTTTCACTTATAAACATCTTGAAAAAAAAATAAACGCATTCTCACAAATTTTAAAAGTATGCCCCGAAGTATGGGCAAACAAAGATACTTTGATACAAAGGCAAAAGGAATCTGTTGAGTTCATTTTACATGTTGAGGCCTTTAAGAATGTTCTGGATCTTTTGAAGAATAAGATTGAAATAATAATCGAACCAAATGAATGGGTTGAGTGGCTCAACATGACAAGAAGAATCAAAATGATATACAATTCTGCGACAAGTGAAATTGATGACAAAAAGCAACTCAGATATGTTGCTGATACTTGGTTGCCATCATCTTTACTTCATTCATTTCTTTTACATATACTTCCATCTTTCTCTAATGAGACATGTGGAAACAACAAAAAATTCTGTGACTACCTGCACGCTATTATAAAACCAGCAAAAATGTTTTGTAAAGCAATGGTTCGAAATGATGCAAGAGGATCTAACTTTCTTCGTATTGTTACAAACATATTAAAAATGTGCTACAAAGAAATTGAATTGAGGTTGCTGACAAAATTCATGGACCCAAAATGCAGAATATGTGGGAAGAAAGTGAGAAACCCTACTTTTTTACAATGTGGAGATTTTGGGTGTCAACTTTGTGTTGAACCACTTTTCAGATTGGTGGAGGCCAGAAAAAATTGCCCAATATGCCACAAGAATATTTCAGATGACTTTATACCAAATCAAGCAATTCTAACTCAAGATCAGCAGCTACAACTGTGTGAATTCCGTTCAAACTGCACTGCATTTTTTATAAAATATTTGGAAGAATTTTGCTTCAAACATCACAGCAACATGATTCCTGCCAAAATGGAGCCACAAATTAAATTGTTGTTAAAAGAATTTATTGCTCAGGTCGATGATGAAAATCGAAAAGAACTTGAGGCTACTGGACTTGATTTAAATGTCAATACAAAAAGCACAATGTTGGAAGTTTTATTTAACCAAAATGCAGCATTAGTAATAAAAGAAATTGATAGCTGGTTGCAACAACTTGATGGACGTAGTAAGCAAAATTTAATAACTGTTCTATTGCAGTATTTCGAAAAGAGTCTCAATATTCATGTCACAAGAAAAATCATGCAGAAAGAAGGACAGGTGTTTACATCAGTTCAACACTTTCAACAGTCGGATGATGTTCTCAATTGGATGGAGCTGAGGGAAATTGCAGAAGTAAGATGTTGCATATTTCACTTAGTGTCAGACTATGAAAGCGTTTTTGAAGAATCTACTATTGAAAAAATGAAAACATCTGAAATCAATCTGCTTGCTCATATAACATCTCCTGATGTATCTCAACCTATGAAAGATTATTTTATTAAAGTTGGTTGTCACATTTTTGGAACACCATGGTTACGCAAGATAGCCAGCCACCACAGATCAGAGGTAGGTTGATATGCAAGTTTGTTGTGTATGGAATCAGTGGTTTTTAAACCTTGTGTATTATTGTCTGCATTATATAAATAAATATATATAAAAGTAAATTTAATACTGGCAAAACAAAATGATATTTATAGTGTAGCGGGTTTAATATTAGTAAAATTTGATATATTTATGATGGTGGTACTTGATTATATTTAAACGCTTTAATTTAATAGTGTAGATTTTTGAATTTAAATGGAAACTTACTGAAATTTAGTGCTGTAATGACAGAACCCCAGAGTTCCCTGCGGAACACCAGTTGAAAATGCCTGGAGTAAATGATATGCCTGCCTGATATTCAAATGTTTCATTTTTTACAGAATTTGATTTCAAAAGCATTGATTCAAGCTGCAGACTCAAGTGGTAATGATTATTGGACGTTGCTTGGTGATAATTACACTGCTGTTAAAACAGAATTGTATGAATTAGAAATGGAACATCTCGAACTTGGAATTGAAGGAGTGTTGCGCAATCCAAATGGAACCATGCTTACAAAATTACTTGCCATATTTACTTGGTCCCAGCAGAAGGATTTGAGAACTAGACAACATATTTTGAATGCGTTTGAAAATGGAATTGGTGCGAATCTATTGACAAGGTCTACTGACAAGTTTTTGTATACTATTCTGAAAAAATTTTTTCCCAATCAGCATCAGAACCACACTATCTATCAATTGGTAATACTGGTTGCTGCTGCAGCTTCTTGCAAAAATGAAATCATGGAAGGATTTTTCACCTTGATGACAAATACTGTTGCTTTGGAGCTGCAATATTTACCAGGAATGCCCGAAGATTTGTTTTTTGCAACGCCAGCAAATTATCGGTTGACTGATAAGCAAAATAGTTCAATGTATAGATGTCCTAATGGTCATTTATACAGCATTGGGAATTGTACTCGACCAACACACACAGCCCAATGCCCTACATGCAAGAAAACAATTGGAGGTACAAACCATAGGCCTGTAAGTGGTAATGAAAAAATAGTTCTGACACCTCAAAGTCAAGCTGGATATAAAAGGAGTTCTGGTGATAGTAGGTTGTCACATGCAGCTGAACGAATTTCACCACAAGGCGCAGCTGTGGTTGAATTTATATTGCATTCTTCCATGCTTATTGGTTTGCAAATTGATCCAGTAACAATATCAAGGTTAGATGTTTCATTAAGTTATTCATATGTTTATTGCATTTTTCTCACATAAAAATCAGTTGATAAAAAAGTCTTAAAAAAATATCTTATGTTTTGAATTGAACATATGCGAAAACTAGAGACTGGTAATAAATTTGTATTCAAATTTTTGTTATTCCAGAAAAAACCAAAACGATTCGAGACCCACATATGGTCACTTTTGATGTTCATGTTCCTTGTCTAACTAACAAAATATTGTATGTGTGAAAATATAATCACCAAAGATGTACAATCCTCAATCGATTTACATGTAAAAATTAGTTAATCTCTAAAAACCGCTATACTAATAGTAAGCTTTTATGCTGATCTGATAAAAGTATTTTCTTTTAGAATGCTGGGTTTTAATGATGATCTTCAGTCTTTCAATTACCTTAGACTGCAACTTGATAAAAGTTTGCAAGATTTGTCAAAATCGCTTTCGAAGAACTTGGATGATGCAGTTCTTATATTGTCCCAAATTCTCTTAAGAATTGTGAGAGAGGTATATGCACTGACTAAGCAAAATATGATTTTTTTGTATAAACTCTATCCCGAATATTTTGTTTTCTATCCATTAAAAATGTTCAATAATGATAAATGGAAATGAAAAAGGCAAAGACTCAGATCCATGTATTGCATTTTTAGTTTCAATTTCTTATGGAAATTGTTGAAACTCTTCTGCGAAAAATATTAACGAATGCCATCAGTATTGAATTGATCATATCAGTATAGATTGAGATTTATTGATGATGCCAAGGCCTTCGTGAGAAAATGTAATTTCTGATAGGTTCAAAGGTCTCTGCAACTTTCGTGTAATCCACCTTTGCATATGCAAACTGTAAGAGGTCTTTTCATAACACATTAAATTATTTTGTTGAGATTAGTTGAGTTGTTAACCAATTATAAAAGTAGTCATGAAATGTCATAGGTTGAAAAATATTTTCCAGTCACCTGCTAACCATCGAGAAAATTGGACAACCTTGGAAGAACGTAGGGATTGGGAGCAAAGATTCCGACAAAACTATATACTTCCTGTATTTCAAAATATTGAGAGAGAACTTATAGAAGCACAAAGCATCATGACAAGAGCTGAGGACGCCACAAGTGCACCATTAATCAGGTTAATTGGCTTTTGATTGTGATGATTGAAGGTAAACCCAAATTGTGAAAATTAAATTAACCTGAAGCCTTCACACTCAGTTAAAGCTTGACAATTTGACACCACGAATACACTGTTTAATTTCACTTAATATACATGTTAACCCTTTTCATGCGATTTTTATTTTTTATTAAATAATCGTATTTGTTACGCCGATTTTATGCATTTGTACCCCCACAAATAATCGATCGACTAACGAAAAACTAATGATCCTCTGCTGCCCACTGACGGCTCGCTGGAAAGCTTATTTAAAGAGCTTGCAATTGGCGATTAAAAAAAAGTTTTTTTTAAAAGTGGTAGTCTGAGTCACAAACCGGATAGAAAAAAGGCATTTTTTTCTTGGGAGTTGAAACTTCAAACCGGGATAAACATAGAAAAATATTCGCTAAATCCTTTACTGTCACCGCTTCGTGGTTGGCAAACAATAGCATATTGTTGCTGTAGCAATTTCGTGATCTAACTCAAAAGACTTTGGTAGATGGAAGGGATAATATGTGTTTTATTACCACCCAAAAAACACCGAAATTTGCATAAATTTCAAAAACACTCCCTCGTTCCGCCGCAAATAAAATTCCCGTCGTAAACGAAAGCGAGATTTACTGTCGATTATGTTAATCTCGGAAAAAACTTCTTATCAATAAACTAAAACCTGAAAAAACTAGACCAACAGTTTGCGACCGATTGCTAAATAAAACAATGGGTAACTTAAAGTAACCGCCGTGACCTAGCGAGTTTTGTCGTTGGTATGTATACATGCCCACCGCACAGTAAGGGTTAATGTTCAGACAATTTGGTATAATATTGAAATGTTTTTTAAAAAAAGACTTTTTGCCAAAATACTTTGAAGAGAACGATTTGAAACCTGCGGTAATTACACAAATAAGATCTTGCATGCGTACACTACGAGTTGTATCTGTTTCTTCAGCAATTCATTCAGAGGGGCGCGATGGATTCACGATTATAGCATAGACTTTGCTTTGTTGGTATCCTAGATTACATATCTCGGGTTTAAACCCATGCCTCCCACCTCAACCAGTGTGAGGCTTACCAGCTTTCGCTCCTTCCAAATTATAGAATCTCCTTACATTTGTTAGGGCCTTATATAGACCCTTGTTTGGAGCAAATAGTGTGATAATATTGTATAAAAAATCTTTAATATATTCTTTATTCACCTGGTTTTATATATCTTTCCATGAGTTTGCTCCAGGTAAGGCCACAATCTTTCACATGAAGGAAAATAGATCACTTATAGAGTGTCAGACTCAGACCATTGCAAGTTTGGAACCATTGAATAAAACGTGTTTCTAAGCATTTCTCATGCTAATTATGTTTTCAGGATGGCCTTTTGTGAAATATAGATGTTATAAAATATTATTAAACTAATTTACTTTTATATATTTTTTTTATTGAAGACTACTGCATGACGTATCGACTGCAGAAGAATTAGAAGCACCATTCAATCACGATCATGTCTCGCTTTGGAATTTCATAGATCATCCAAATTTAAATCATCTTTCACAAAAGCTATCAGATTGTCTAGATCCTAATCTTGGTAATTCAATTTCAATGTTATTTCTGATAGTATACACAATTTTACTGCTATACTTGATAGAATAGAATTTATAAGTAAAATACATAACTATACATTTTTGGAAATTAATATTACATTACACATCTTATTACATTCACATTAATATTTGGGGTAAGAAGAATTTATTAGAAGCAGTGCTTGCATAGTCTGATGAAATGGAAAAGAACGGTAAGAGTGAACTGTTATCGTAGGAAAATCAAAGAGTTGTTTTTGAAAACATTTTACAGGTAAAGTGGTAAAGATATTACTCCGAACACCCAATCTGCATCTTGTGAAAGACTTGCAGCATGTTCTTCAATTGCAGCGTTCTATGATTGAAAAGTATGCATCTGTGTTTAAATTTATATATAATGTAGTTGTCACTCTTATCTTTTCCCAACCATTTTCTTTACATTCCTTTCAATACTTATCAGATCTTATTTTTCCTCTTTTTGGCTATGTATAAAAACTCAGTTTCTAATATTTGTTCAATCTTTAATCAATCATTAGCTAGTGGCTAAGGCTTTTGCACAGTGTGAATAGCGTACAATGTGTGCATGAATATGTTATACAACACTCAATAAATAAAATACACTGTAAACAGCATTAGTGGAACTACCCTGAATACAAAGTAATATTTCCTCTCAAAATGCAATGACATACCTCCCTGGTGCACTGGTATATGATAATTTATTGACATATTATATATCGTAAATATTTTTCCTATCATATAAATGAAATATAACTAAATTATCTTATATTATATATAATCATATCCTTAATCGTACATTTTGGATGTTATCCAATAATGTGGAATGCAAAGAGATGAAAGTATGATAAATTAGCATAAGCACCAACGATATGATAAAGTTTGCTACGCAGTATGAAAATTCATTGAGTTCACTGCCAATTGTAAAAGTACAGCTAGTGGCAAATGGAACACGTAACCATTAGAAATGAATACTAAATTAAAGCATATAAAATGCAATCAATGTCGATTTGATATATATTTATTGTATTATAAAGGTATAGCCGCAAAATTGACATGAAAGACTCGGATGAAGTAACTTTCAGAGATTACTTGACTGAGTATGGAGCCGATGATGAGAAACTCATTCAAAAATATATTCTGTCATGGAATAAGGTAAACATTTCAATTTGATTTGTATTATTAATTCAATATATGTTCAAAATATTTCAATGAATGTTCCCCTATGTTTGCAAAATATTTTTGGATTTTTTAATATGCACGGTTTCTCCTATATCTAAGCTTCTTGTACAAATTATCGAATACCATTTCATGTCAAGTGAATAGAATTATCATGAATATCACTTAAAAATAAAAAAAATTGCTAAGTTACTTACATTTATTGAAATTAGAATCAGGAAAACTAGTAATCACATCATCCTCGAATATAATGGAATTATCGAACTCCAAGAAATTAGCGTATGTATTTGCTAAAAATCTCATTTGATTTTTAGATTTTGCCCTTCTTGCAAAATTGTACTCCAGAAAAAATGCAAAAATATAGTGTTGAGATATCTGAAGACAGTCCTATATCGAGTGGTCTTCCAACTATTAGAGGAAGAGGACAGTTTGCTAAATTTATTGCGGAATACCTGATTGATATACAAAATGATTTTCTTTCCAATTGCGGCTTTGCCATGGATTCAAGTTTGATGTGAGTGGGAATTTTTTAAATCTTTTTGTACAGTGGTTCAATGGTTGGCTCCTGCTACAAAAAATCAAAATCTTTACAATTCTGATTACTTTTTGTGGTTTTCACTCTCTCTAATTCTATGGGGGATTATAATTAGAAAGATTACTGGACTTTTCACCATTGAAATGTAGTATACATAATCAAATCTCCAGTTGTAAAATAATTTCTCCATTAACATCCACATTTACTTTGACTCAATAAAAAGCTGTGCTGCGCTCTATTGTTTTTTGTTTCATAATCCTTACATCATGTGATAAATAATTTAATTTTGTGCTATATATTTTATTGTGTTAAGTTGAATTTTTTTGATTTCAGTCATAAATTTACAAGCTACATTTTTTTCCAATAAATGATGAAAAGTAAATACTGCAAAAAAGGAAAAATGTGTCATTATATACCTGTTTAGTATAAATAATAATACAATGTTAGAGTATGGATAATACAATCTCAATGCTTTTAATTCATTTCTGCGATGTTTGTCATTATACTATTTGATTCAATCAGTTATTTTGTGTTTTAGGGACGAGGAAGTTGAAGTGCCTGATCTTGTTTCAGCTGATTTTATTTTCATTGATGAACATCGTGATTTGATATCTTTGTTATACAAGCATTCAAATTATGATATTGCATTTGATGAGAACGGAAAACACCATCGTATCTCTTATAATATTGATGCACTTGAAAAACAGGTGGCAACTGAATTCTTACAGACAACATGTTCATACCTAATTACTTTAACCTTTATGTATTTTCATTATCAATTGCCTTTTTTATTATCAGCAATCTATTACCTTGAACAAATGCTTTGTGAAATTGAGTGTATTGAAAGCAGGATTGATGTTGCATTTTTACCCATTTTGAAACCAAGAATGCAAATTATCAAACAAACTGCCCTCTTCCGACTTTGCTAACAAATACACTACTCTATCGTTTTCCTATATTTTCAATTATGCATCTGTATTTTAGTTAGTGCATGTGTTCAAAATTCAGTAGGTAAATATCTTCTTTTAAACTCCTAAACTACTTGTTTCAGATTATTGAGAAATTTGTACTGGATAAGAAACTGATCAAGAAAAATGTAAGTCTTATAACTTCATCAATTGTAGGTAATGCTCTATGTTATGCATTCAGTCTATCATTACTCTTTTATACACAGACACTACCGTATATGAAATACCCACAAGATTTTGGAATTGGATCTGATTGGAAAATAGTGTCTGCAAACATTGAGCAGGTGAGTCTATGGCCACTGTTTGATCTGTCATACCAATATTCATACGAATAATTGTTCAACATTTATTTCCAGGAGTCACTCACAGCTAAATTAGCCCAGGACGTTGACAGACAAGCAGAAAGATGTTTATCGTCAGAGATATGTACAGGAGTGAGAACATTGTCAACTGCAATTGCACTATTAGCTGTGGTATGTCTTACAACCTGCTTCACTTATTTTTGCATGTTTTTATCTTTGCATCAAATAGTATTTTTATATCACCACACATCGAAATATTTTTATTTCCAGGTGAAAATTGATGCTTCCCAGTTTCTGTGTGAGTTTCTTGAGCGAGACCTTCAAATATCATCCTCACAGACTTTCATGATTCCAAAATCTGCCCACATCAAGCATATACTATCTTTATATCAAAGGTTGTCTTGGCATAAATCTGTCCAATTTGTTCAGCAAGGGCTTGACCCATACAGAGAAGCTTTATCAACAAGTAAGTTAATTTCAAGGGTGACCGTACATTTGAACCCACGTACATTTGAACCATGTACATTTGAACCCATGTGTATATCCGCGGGTTCAATCTATATGCGGGTGCTAAAACCCATGGGTTAGGGTTAGTATGAGTTCAAATATCCGTAAAACAAAAAAAATTTCCATAGGTGCAATAGTACGCAGGTGCAATTGTCGTGGGTTCAGATGTACGGGGTTCAAATGTACACAGGTTCAAATGTAATGGAACCAATTTTAAGTAATGGCAAGATTGTGTGCGTACCCTGCTTGCAATTTCAAATCTAGTTGGGATAATCATGTCATGGAATGGTTATTGTTATGTTGAGAAGACTGATTGGCCTACAATATGAGGTGGTTTAAATAGGCACTCTGATAATAGTTTACTTCAAATATTACCATGCCTGTTTGGCAACCGAGGTTTGTGTTGACTAAGTTGTCATTTGGTATAAATATGAAAGCTTCTCATTACCCAAAATTATGATTGTTATATTTGACTTTCTAGTTGATCAAGAAAACATTCCACTGGAAGCTGATATAGCAGAATCACTGGAAAGAACAGATATTGCAAAGTTACAGCAGAAAATTAATGAAATGTTGATAACTATGCCCGAAGATCTGCAAGGAAACTGGAGGTATTTAGACGTGATTTTACTAAGCTTTCATAAGCATCACCCATACAGATTTATGGAACAACTCGTGATATTCCACTCGTTTGACAATGTAAGCCAAATTTTGCAGTGGCAGCATTTGTAGGTTTTAATTTAAAGTACTGAAATATTCATCTCATTCAGAGTGGTGGGGCAATTTTCAACCAGGCAGTCTTGTCACTTGAAAAAAAATATATACATATTTATTGATGCTTACCCAAAATAGTGTAATGTGTTCACACTTATTCTCCCCTTATTATTTAATTTCAGTCTGGTTGAAGATGTCTTTCCAAATATTAAATTTCTTGATCAAAACGAGGACGACTCTTGGTACTGCAACTTACCTGCTGAATTGTGCTGCAAACACATTTCTGATCTTTTCTCCTACACGGTTCATTATCTTGCAAGAGCTTCATGAGCATACTTTCAACCTGGTTTTAGCTTTAAACATAGTAATTGAAAATCTTCTCTCTATGACTGATCAGTATAGTATATTCATACTCATCATTCATTGTATTAATTACCAATTTATGTTTGTTCATTAAAAAAACATATGATGATTTTAAGTAATTACTAAACTTGTTATTTCTAGAATTGTATATTCCTTTTATTTATGCAGAATTGGCATTTTTCCTTGTTATCTTCAATATAATTATTGACTTCAAGACTGAGAGTAATTTGTTTTATGAAATAGTGGGTGCAAATTAATAGCGTTTTATTCGAGATAATTAATTTTCAAATCCTGATCATGTTTCTGTATATTTCAAACAATTTCTGACAAGAAATAAAATTACTGTGGCTAAGCAGTTACAGAATGCCTCTTGTTGATGTAGATTGTACCAGTGTATCGGCTAGATGTAGACCGATATATTTAGCTACTCAATATGATCCGGAATGTTATGAAAATAGATTAGAATACTGATCTTGAAATTATTTTATGCCTGGATAAATCGTGAACTATGAGCCATACACGTTCCCACCCCGCTACTATAAACGGAAATCGGATTCTGACCTGTTTTTAGCGATTTATCAGCCAAATTGGCTCAACTAATATGGGTATTTTCGCTGCCAAATTATTATAATGACATTTTTAATATTACATGGTAATTATAAAATAAAATCAATCGAATATTAGTGGATTTTCTGATGTTTAAAATACGACGTTATCTTGGCACATAATCCTGCGCAAGTAACTTCATGTATTAGTTTCATGGGATAAGTGGGCTAAACCACCAACAGTAGCCAAATCCTATTAGTTTTCTAATTGAACACCGAGATTACTGACGCCAGTGCTCAATGAATCTGAATCAATTAACGCATTTAGATTCCGTACATCAATTTCCTAATATACATGTGTGATATTTTTCTTTTTTGATCCGAAATAATGTGCACGAACTACAATTCACATCAAAGAAACATTGCAAATTTCATGCAACAGTCCAATTTAGTTGTAATAAATAGCACATTATGGTTTTTTCTGACCTTGCGTATGTTAAAACTTATCTCAAATTAGATTTTTTCAAAAAGTTATAATCTGGCTGGACAAATGGCCCCTGGCCGCATTACACTAGAGTGGAGAAAGGTGGTCCTCGAGTGTTGTGTTGCTATTACAGTAAGTTTTCTACTTGGCTCGAGTAATAACAGAATACACAGGTTTTGAATAAAATTTATTTACGAAAACAACAGTATTGTATAACAAATGATAGTTCAAATAATAATTAATAATCACCTTCCCCTGTGCTTCGTCGTAATATAGCCATTTGTTGAAGTGCTCAAAACTCCTTCTGGACTACATAAGTTGAGCACGGTTACAAAAAAGTGACAGTTGATGCCAACAGACATTAATTTGGCTTTAACAGAAGTTACTTTAAAATATACAAGTAAATAATGGGTATCTATGGCTGAAATCACTTAGTCTGTATGAAATTGATCTCGGCATATAATTAAAAAAACAAAATAAAATGATACTAAGATTTGTGTTTATGCTTTTTTGAAACATGTTTTCTACTAGGTGAATTATCATGTTTCCTTTTTTTATGTTTAAAATCATGTAAATGTCGTTTGTTTGATGTGTCAGAGTCCGAATCACTATGAGAAGATTTCTTTTTGTGACTTTTATTTGAACGGTGTTTTTTCTCAATCGTACATTCTTCTGTGTGATGTTTTTTCGTCTTCTTAACCTTTTTCTCTTTTTCTTGATTTTTATGTTTTTTAGATTTTAATTTCTTCTTTTTCTTGTGTTTCTTTGATTCGTCATCACTGCTGGACTCGCTGGTTGTTGGCATGTCCAACAACTGTTGAAGCCAGTTTTTCTTTTTTTCGTTTTCTTCTCTTTTTGAAGACTCAACAAAATGATACATCGGGTCCTCATAAGCCTGGGGGTAAGGTAACAAATTATAGAAAAAATGATTTCTAAATGTATACCTGTCAGCTGACAAATCTCACCTCACGAAACTTTTCAATTGCAGAATTTCCAGATTTAAACATGGGGCATTCTTTGTCCCCTGTTCGGTGGCCATACTGTTTGCACCTCCAACCTAAATTAATTCAAAATATGTACTCGGTTTTGCTTAAGGTGGTAAATATATATATATACACACGCAGTGACTGTGTCAATTTCCCAGTACCAAATTGTGTGAAACCACATTTCCTGCTTAACAGACTATTAAGAACAATAAAAAAGTTATTTGAGTAGTGTGGATGCGCGCATTAGGATTGCGTTGATCAAGCTTGGGCCATAATTTCAAAAGTTTGTGAGAGAAATTGAATTTCCTACACTTTAACTTCTGAAATGACTTTTCATTGTTATTGTTGGAGTGCAAAAACCAAAATATTTTTCTCTCATACAAGTTGCAGGTGGTTTTAAATTTTTGTTAAATAGGTTTCTATGATATGCCGGATATGCTTAAAAAATAGCAAAATATGCAAAAAAATAGGTAATATTCAGAAATGGATTCTCCACTACAAGAACTTACATTGCATGACTTTGACTTCCTTTCCAAGAGGCATCCATAATCCTTTCTTGGGAGCATTTGCAAGAAAGTCCCTTGCTTCTTTATTCGCTGCTTCATCTGGAATACAATCTTCTGGTCGCTCTTCCTCTTCTTTCAAGAATCCTGGAGGAGCTTGTTCATAACTAAATAAAAGAGTTACCGGTATTATGTGAACTAATTCAAAAAAGTTTTTTAGATCACAATATATACGTTATATACCCTAAGATACTAAGCTAGGAATATCATATTTATTCCTAGGAATGGACATGATAATACAACATGATTGTATGAAGACTGAGAAAATTTAAAATAGACTCTAAATATTTGACCCCAACATCGAGAAGTCAAATTTTAACAACTGAAACTTTGGTAAACATTCGACTTTTTCAATATGCTGCTGAGAGAGCTAATAAAAATTAATGCTTCAAGTTCTAGTAGAATTTCAACTTATTTTAGCAATTTTGAAACCCTGCAATTCCAATGAATTGAGAATTTTAACTCTGGACTCCCAGAGACTAAAAATATAATAAGCGAATGCTATAGTTACCTATATACTAATATTATTCAAATTACTTACAAACTCTCAATATGCTTGATTCGATCAATAATCTCTTTATCCACTTTAACATCCATAACTTTCTCACTCATGCTTGTTTTAAATGTTATGCAACAACATAAAAACCTGTCATATAGAATGCACAAGAAAATATGAAATTATTGAAATATAATTGTAAGTTATTTTTATCTGGAGAATCCCACAACAAAATGGAACAGATACAAATTATCAACCACTCAATCAGAATAATTAGCTATTATAGTAGTCTCAGTGTTTTCATCATAAAGAATATAGTTTTTAATCAATTAGCTTTCTGTGAATCAAAAGTTTGACCATCCATTCATATGATACAGAACCATAATATAAAATTGATGACATTGAACATATTTGCAAAAAGCATTTACTATTTTTCAAATCAATATTGCACAGTTTATTATTTATTAACTTATTTATTCAAGTCTATCTTTGTAGTTGATTTAACATTGCAACCACTCGTTCTGCAGTGTCTCTATTTTCTACTCCACATCTTTTCAAGACTAAATCAAGGTCATTTGTATTTTTGGTTTGCATCGCAAGATCACCAGCTTGCTTTATATTGCCAGCTTTGATGAGTGCGAGTACACGTTGATCCTGAGCCACTTTTCCTATGTATTTTCCAATCTCATGATATGCACCATAGTTAGCACATGCTTCAACAAACGGCAAATATCCAACTGGTGATTTTTTACTCTTTGAAAAGCTTTCCAATTCTTGATAATGGCCTAGCTGTGCCAAAGTAGTAATGCGTAGAATCCACCATCGTTTATCAGAAACTTTGAATTCTTTGCGCAATTGATCTGCTTTCTTGACATTCCCAGACAACAGGAGATTGTTCAATGTGTCGTGAATTGAAGTCTCAACATACGATTGCTCACTTTCTTCTTCCAGCAATGTCTGTTGTCTTATAAGTTTCAATTGATCTTCTGATGCTTTCGCTCCGAACTCATCTTTTGCTTTCAAAAAGTTTTGATGTGCTTCTTGCAGTGATACTATTCTGTCTTCTGGACTGAATGTTCCATAGCTTTCTCTTACATAACAATGAGCAAGTTCTAAAAAGTTGTCTTCTTGCTCATGAAGATGCTTCAACATATCTGGGTTTTGGTCTTTGCATGATTTCAGATATAGTCGATAAGCAGTGGGGTGTTGACGAACAGTCATCAGAAAATCAGAAAGACTGCTACGCTCTCTCAAATGGCCAATCACTTCATATGTTAAGTCTGTGTTTCCACTGATCACTGCTTTTTCTAAAGCTAGTCCATGTTGTCCAAGAGCAATTAAAAGCCTTACCTGCTCAGAAGCTCGTTGCTCATATTCCAAAAGCTTTACGGCCAAATCCATTTTTTTGCATTTGACAGCTTTTTCAGCAATACTGGCATAAGAAACACCTTTTGCAGATCTTAATTTATTTTTAATAGCTCTTGCTGTGGTATCATCATCCATGTCAGCTTTTTGCACTTTATAACAGGCCCAATGTGCCAGTACACGACTTGATCCCTGGTTTTCTGGGATACGAAGAAACTTGCAGATGTGATATGCCACTGCAAATTGTCGTCTTGCAATGAGACGATCAATAACTGTTCCAGCAGTAAGAAAATCAAGTTGTTTTGAAGTGAGAAGTATCCCTGTTCTTCCCTCTCTGATGTTATTGAGTACTCTTAAAGTACGAGTAACATCAACAAACATCTCCGTAATTCTTATATCTGGATAAAATGCTTTGCCAAAAGATGCTGATCGCAAAAGTGATTTCTGAGATTCTGAATCAAACTCTGATTCGGCAGCTAATATGCATTGTTCAATAGCAGATTGCAGTTCCTGTTTTTCAAGCAGCATCCTCATGTATTCATCTGCTTTTTGACTCTCCTTTTTGAATTCTTTCGCTGCAGCATGAAGCAATGCACCAGAAGCCATAGATCCAATTTTAAATATTCCCTCAGATTCAGTTTGCACTCTCTGTAAAAACTCGTGTCTTTGGGAAGACAACATGTGAACTCCATCAAGATCCAATTGAAGGTGATTTGAAGGCATACCATCCTGGGGTTCATCAACAGCAAATCTTACCCAGTCCTTTTTCAATCCAACAAGAAGTACAAGTCTTGGCCAGTACACGACAACTGCAGAACTTATAGTTTCATTTTTGTCTGAATTGACAGTTCTTGATGAAGAATAATCACAGCACCACAGAAGCTGTCTTGGTCGACTATTATTATTTGTGTTGAACTCACAATATTTTTCTTGAAAATCAGAAGAACCCATCCACATTATGCCTGCATCGGTGTATAAAACAACATGCTTGCCATTGAGAGAAGCTGCCATTTCGATATATGATGTAACTTTCGATTGCATGCTTGTGGGAAACTGCAAGGAACATTCACCTCCACATTTCAACAAATATATTTCATTCTCATTTGAAACAAGTATTCTTGGGTCTCGTTCCGATGCCAAAACACACCAACTGCTTGGAGCTGTTCTCAATCCAGGTGTATCTGCTAGTTTTTTCAGTTTGATATCATAAATGTTGTTCACAAGATAAAATCGATATAATCCATTGAGGACAACCAAACCAGTACCATATCCACTCATGAAGGTACGATAATCCAGAACTTTGCTTTCACAAGATTCCACTCCCATTTCAATTACCTTTATGAACTCACAAAACATGGAGTAAATCAGGACTCTTCCATCATCTTGTATACACAACAAATCTTCCAAGTTTGTCCAGGCCAGCCCAATCACCAGTCCGCTATTCCAACGACAACTTCCAATTCCCTCTCCTGCAGCATTGTACACACTCAAAATTGGGCGATTTATTCCAGTACCTTGGCCCGTTAAGTTCTCATCTTTCATTGTAGCAATCAGACCTCCACATTGAGAAATAGCCACAAGATTCTTTGACAAATCAATATTTTGATTCCATCTCATAGATGGATAGATGGTTTTCTTTTGATAAGTAACATCGCCCAAAGGGCTCCAATCCACAGTTTCACTCATGATGATCTATCTGATAGGTATGGTTAACTACAAAGATAAAACAAGTGGGTAAAAATGACGTGAGCAATGAGAAAACAAGACAATGGGGGCAGTGTTGGGGTGTATTGACATCGGAAATTTGCAGTTTAGAAACAAAATGTGATCACAATTACAAAAACAAATTCACTATCACAAATACAATGGTTATGGTTTGTTCAATAATAATAATAACAAATACAGTTCTCTACAATTCTATTTTCTACCAAATCCTGACAGTCTTTGGTAATTCAACTTTTGGTCTTTTTCCGGCGATTTATTTATATATGTATAAGCCATAATTCGCAAACAGCACATATTTGTCAAAAGGTACTTCTCATGGATTCAAGCCAGCACCTGCTTTCTAAATGTTTAGATTTTAAATATACACGATAGCACTTAGTAGTGGTCAATAATGTTAATATTCACACTTACAAGTTACAACCATAAAATTTGATATTTCTTATAGGGGAAGTGTGAATTAAAAATGAAATCAAATAACATGCGATAATAAAACTATACAATTAAAATGTTAAACACAAAAAAATAAAAGATAATCTGACAAAATCATTAAATTGTTTTATCGTAACAACAGAAGCAAAAAATTTTCTTCAGCAGCATCCTTTTTTCTGTTAAATTAAAAAAGTGTAAAACGCAACACAATAAAGTATACCCAATTACTATTAAGCAGTAAAATACAGTATGCCAAGCAGTTTGAAGCAATCAAATTATTGTGGAAGAGCAGATGTACACCAGTAATTGATGTGAGTGAATAGCAACATTCATTTACTGAAGCAGTCGATGAAATAGAAAAAGCACATTTATTCATGTAGAGTTTTCCAACTGTTTCTGCAGCATCATTCTACTGTATTGTATGAATCCGGCTAGATTATTAGTTTTGTTTAAATCATCTTCCATAGATTTGAGATTTTCCAACAATGGGTAACTTTCTAGGACTCCGTAAACTCTGTCAATGAGACTAATAATGATGTAGCAATCTGCTTTGCCAGAACATTTGAACACAAATTGCATTCGATTATTCTTCAACACACGTATCTCAAGACCAAGAAGCCTCTTATACAATTCCGTTCTTGCATTAATGACGACATTCTTCTCCTCAATTTGTTTTCTTTGGTCTTCAAGTTGTTCCTTCACTTTCTGAAATTCTTGCCTTTTTTCTTCAATTTCTTCAGTTAGTTTCTTGTTTTCTAGCCTCAATGCTTCACATTTTTCTTTTGAAGCATTTGAATTTTCTGACAAGCTATTCAGCTGCTTCAGATTGTCAGTGGTGTTTTGATGAAGAACAGATAAATCGTTTAATCCATTTTCTATATTAGCAACAATTTTAGTATTTTCAATGTAACATGATTTATGGGTATTCAACGATTTTTGCAAATGTTGGTCCCATTCAATTTTCACATTTTTCTCCTGTAAACCTTTTAACTGATATTGCAGTAGCTCTGCAAAACCTCCATCTTGAGATGACATTCTTAGAGATATAAAATTAGCAACATTCCACGAATATAAAATCTGAAACAACAAAAAATTCATTCAATCATTTAAACAAAATAATTTGACAATAATCAGAACCCAAATAAACAAAAATAATCAATGTAACATAGAATATGCAACTTGAGGAGTTGGGTATAATTAACCCTTTTCGGCTTTTTATTGCCATTGCTTCCAAATCATGGTTTATATTAATATGAAAATCGTAGGCTACTAGAATAGTTTATGATTTCAATATTAAACAGCACATGAGCAAGCAACAAAAATTTAAATGTAGCATTTTAGAACAGTCAATTTTGATTAAGTGAAATTTAAGTGTTAATGTGTTGTTGAGAGGGCCAATGCGACTGAATCAATTTGGCAAGTAATACAGATTACAAGTAGGTACTCCCGTAGTATGTGTATCAGGTTAGGGTTGGGCCATAATTTTATTCCTGAATATACCACCTGACCATAGGCTTTCACCTCTTTACGCAACTTGATGTAAAGTAGGCGAACAAAATTAGTTACCATATTGGTACACACACTTCTGGAGTGCTGAAAAGTATTAAAAATAAGCATTGTAAATAACAATTGAGTGTTGCAAAATACTAAAACAGAGAAATACTCAAATTCTTGTAAAAAACAAATACACGGAAGATTTCATAGACGTCATTGAAAACTACTAAGGGTCTACACAACTAAATCACTCAACAACTCAATGCTGAATATTTGAATGAATCAGCATACTTCCTACTTATTAAACATATATTCATAACATACTATTCCAGAAATATGTATCTTGACTATTGGTAGCTGGGAAAGATAATGAAGTTATGAACATAGTTTCACATATTTCTTGAGAGATCAGAATAATGAACTATTCAATGTTATTCACTTCAAATTATTATCAAATCTGTTGAATCTCCTGTTGTATCTTTCAAACTTAAAATTGAACTTCAGGCTAAATAAAACATTACTGGGTAGATTCACCCTCATTCTGTCCAATTTTAAGAGTGTTTGATAAAACTTTCAATTTTTCTGCCAACTCTTGTTTTCCTTGCTCTAATTCCTTCTCATATACTTTTGCTTTCTGTTCTTGTTGAGATAGTTTATCAATAATGAAGAGCTCATGATTCTCACTCTGTAAAAATAATTCACCAAAGCCTTGAAAAAGATGAGCTGAAACCACTTGTGCAGTTTTGCCTAAAAACTGACAAATATTCTCATCTCCTGAATTTTTTATTTCTCCATGCTGTTCAATTTCTGACTTGCTTGATTCATGATTTGAATCTGTAATATTATTTGGTGGAACGACGTCATCTGCATTTTGAAACCAATTTAAATCCGTAATTCCAGCTGCCAAGCCTATATTGCTGTCATCTTTTAGTGAGCTTTCCATGACAATTAATGTCAAAGCAATTTCTACATTCCTATACTAATATTATATAGCCTACACAAAAAAAAACAGCCCAAATAGTTTTGAAAACAGTTCCTAATACAGTAATATGGCTAATCTTTTAATCCAGTACCGGTAATCCTGTAATCACAAGTTATGCAACCGGCCAATCTCAGAATCTACAGATTTACAATACGATACCGGTACCTTTATATAGACTATATGACTCAAATAAAGTTTCATATCTGCACAGCTACCGGTACAACATTTAATTTAGACTAAGTTACATGATTTCTTTCGCGCGGCGGTGTGGCTCATTGTGCTAAGCGTTAGGAATACGCTCGTCACCGCATCTTTGATTATCCTGTGTGGATTCGCAGGTTCGAATCCCATGCGGGATAGTTATGTGCGAGAGGATTGCTGGACACCTCGCCGTCATAGGGTAGTTCACGTAACCGCTGGTCGGTTACCGGTACGGCTTCCTCCCCCATCAAGTCCATGCTTCCGAAAAACAAATAACTAAAACTAATTCCATACCGGTACCATACATGGACTGGTAATCGGACAACAGGCCTTGATTCGCCATATGGCCCTCTTATCGACTTTCCTCTCCCCCGGGATAAATATGTAAATCCTATCCTAGATACAGAGATACCGGTACCGCAGTACCGGTAGGAACAATATTTAGGCAAAAAGTAATAGCAAAAGCATAGTAAAGCAGTACTCGTGAAAAATCCCGCGAATGCCATGGGAAGCTTGTTATTGAAGTACCGGTACCGGCACCGTACTGGTGCATAAGTTCCAAAATCTCAAATTGTGGGCTTAAAATACCACTAAACTGGACAAAATCTAGTAAAACTCTTAACTTGATAGCCTAAGTACAGAAGTAAATAGCCTAGCCTTTTTTTTTTTTTTTTTGTGTTTGGCAGTCGTCGGGTGCGGTCGCATTTTTGAACGGCGCAGAAAGATTAGATTGACAACAATGAACCAGCACTTAAGGAATATCAACAAGTAAAGGCCGAAATATGAAATTACATGGCAGCATAAAGACAACATACGGACATCATAACAGAATCGAAAGATGAATACAACAGGGATTGATTCAGATATTTTATTTTGTGACAAAGAGTATGAAATACTGCTATTTCTAGAAATTTCGCTTGAATACTGAGTATTCAACTATATATGTGTAAATAGTTTGCAGTGTAACTTACAGTGTAACATTTTTAAACATTCATTTAGTGGCATATTTTTGATTTGTTCTCTCTGTGTGTATACCGGTACTGTTTTAACAATGTTGGCCACGTCAATGTATCAATTAGGCTACAGACCTGCTCACGTGTGATTAGTGTTTTTCCTAATAATTGCTTTTATGAGTGTCCGCACACCGAATTTGCCGCCATGGTTTTGCGTTTGTTTGTATATTAAACCACTTATCACCTTTTCCGCAATGCCCAATCTAGCAATCAGTGTAGTTTTTCATGGCTTGGTTTTTCTTAAAGCTTTCATGGCTTCATGAGTATGACTATCGTCGCAAATTTATTACATTCCACTACCCACATTATCTTTGCATGAGGTTGTAGGTATTGGTCATTATCAACGTAATTGTTGAAAGAGAGTACAACAGCCCGAAAGTTTATTACTATCGTGTATTTTGTTTTTTAAGTTTGGCCCAAGCCTCATTTAATTGGGCTTGTGTTTTTGTGTGCGTGCTGGTGGGCAGGCACATGAGATACTTCATGTTTTAAACTTTTTTGTAGGTTTTGCTTGCCCTCCAGAATTCTCCATTTTAAATTTAGGTTTGTTATGGAGTTTTCGAAATAAACTATCTATCTATCTAGTTCTGGTGATAGGCCTAGCTAGGTTAGAACCGCAGTAACCAGGCAAAAGAAAACCTACCTTACTGCGGTATTGCTATTGCCGCTATCATCAAATTGTGCTATTATATATACCGGTACGCTTTGGCTACAACGTTACACTGTGAAAGCTGTATTCAAAATAAGTGTCTACCCTTCATGAGAACGGCGTTTTGCGAGAATATGGTGCACCGATGACGGATATTTCCAAAATCAATATCTGAGAAAACAGTAACTGCCAAAGTTTATCTATGCGAAACCGAGTACTTCATTCGAAACAAACAAATTTAAAATTGTTGGATAAATAAGTGTCCGCCCTTTGCAAGAACAAAACTTTGCGAGAATATGGTGCTCCGACAACGGATATATCCGAAATTAATATTAGAAAAAACCAATGACATGTTGTTTCATGTCATCAGAGAAAAGAGTAACCCTCAAAGTTCACCTACGCAAAACCAAGTACTTCTTTCGAAACAGACAAATTTAAAATTGTTGGTTATAACTATTTGTGAGAACAATGCGGTCTGTATTACTACGAACCTTTTGCAACTTCCCGAACCTAAAGTCCGATTTATGTGTTTTCACCACTGAGGTGTATATAGCCCTCAATGGTTTTCACTTATTGGACAGGAAGTGTATATATGGATCTTTTTGATAATTGCTGTTGTTGAAGTGATTGTCTTTGTTGAAAAATAGCTTTCTTTTCGAAATTAATAAAAAATGAAATGAGAGAGCAAGGAAATATATTGCCGTTGTCGAACTTAAAAATGAAACATATACTTATACAGTACACTGGCGGCGCGTCAATAGGGCCAACCGGGGCAATGCCCCGGTTGTTTTTTAGGCATAATAAAAAATATTCGAAAAATACCTCAATATCGGTTGCACAGACTGTCTACACTAGCCATATTCTCCCGACATGGTTCATTTTTCGCTCGCAAAGCCTTCGCCGAACGTCGACGGGGCGACGCCGATTTTGCCCCGGTTGCTCATTGTATATCGTATTCTCTATTTTATCTTCCACTCGCCGCGTTTGTCTCGTTTGTTTTTTGTTTCTTCTACTAAATTATCGGGGCCGATTGGGACTAGCCCCGAAATTATGACGACACAATGCCGACGTTTCTTACAACAACGTGTTGACATATTCACGCATTCCTTCTCGTTCGTTGGTTGCTTAAAGAGTTGATAGTTCCCTCGCCTTCGTTTTTGTCGCTTGTTTCGCTATTTGAATCAGTTAGAGACCTTTAGTCCATTTGCTTTCGGTTTTCCACATTCCTTTTGAGCTCCTCACTTCTTTCCGGCTTCGCATTTCTTAGCCTCAGACCTCATAATGAATAAGGTTGATGCACTACTTCGCACTCCGTTTTCGCAGCTGCCGCTGGAACAAAAATTAGAGGTACAACGTCTTGGGCCTTATCAACCAAAAAAATTTTCACTGGAACAATCCCATGACGGAGGAGAGCGTCGGCGTACATTCTGCGCAGAAACTTGGTATAAAAAACACGAATGCTTGTGTTACAGCGAGGACAAAAATGCACTTTTTTGTTTTTATTGCCTACTTTTTGCTACCGCCCTTGACTCACGTTGGTGTAAATTTGGTTTTAGAGATCTTAAACATCTTTCCGAGCGTGCCAGGGATCATCACTCTTCTATGGAGCATCTGGACAATGCAGTAAAATACCGAACATTCGGAAATGTTAATATTGCAGCACAGTTGGATGAAGGACGCGCGGTTTCTATTCGTCGGCACAGCCAAAACGTCGAGAAAAACCGCCATGTTCTCGGTCGATTGATAGATGTTTTGAAGTTCATTGGTTGACACGAGCTGTCCCTCCGTGGGCACGATGAACGGGCTGGCTCTTCTAATAGAGGGGTATTTTTAGAGGGGTATCATTATATGTGAAATATAAATTGAAGCACAATACACCGAATAAGCACAATAGCAAAATTTTAGAGTCAAATATGTTTTACGGGGTGCAGGGTATGACGTATGTTCAGAATGAAATTTGGATTCTTTTTAATTGTAATTCAATGATCAATTCGTTTAAAACAGCCATATGCGTAATTCACCGTTGTTCACCCTACAACTGTAGACATATGTCATGCTATCTATTTCCTACGGTTTAATTTACATACTTTTTTTTATTAAAACATTCATTTTGGTTTTTGAAACTTTTATATTTTCATATGAATGTTAAATGCCCCCAGGCAGAATATGCATGACTTCAGACAATTTCTAATTTTATTTCACTTCAAATAAAATTGCATACGTAAGAGCCAATCTTCACAATATCAATAAATATTTCAAAAAAAATTTGCTATATAAATGTCAACGCTTTTTATATTTTTTGGTTTCTGACACGTAATTAAAATTAAAAATATATCCTGAAATTTAGTCATTCCGAGTTATTTAAGAGAATGGATTATGAAGATTGACTTGGATGAAAATGCGTACAAGAAGACAACGGGAACATTTTGGTCTGTCGGTACTGCTGTGGAAGTTGTGAAATGATGTGAACACCTAAACTTGCAAAAATGTATATACATTCCTGTTTATTGTATGTGTAATAAAAAATTCCCCAAATTTTGCGCTACTTTATTTATGGCAAAACTTCATATATATATATATATATATATATGAGTTTGGCATCGTCTACTACATCGTCTACATCGACTAAATGATGATTACACGATAAGATAGGCGATAAATGGCAGACAAATAAATGACAACGCACAATGAATTGGATTTTTGCTTCAGGCAGTTCTCTATCATTAGTTACGATGGCGGCTAGTTATGTATATATTAACTCGAGATAACAAGTATATATATATATAGCCTATAGCAGGGATGGCAAACCTTTTCCGATGAATGGGTCAAAAATTATATTTTTATCGCGGAACAGAAGAGAGTGGGTCACAGATATTTAATCAATGTTTGTATCTATAAGAAACTTCTGAATCAAATCTTGTAAGCTTCTGTAGGTGTTGGTGTAGTTTTGGGATTATGCAGCATTTCCATTAGGGACTTTTTATGGCACTCGATTATATGGAATGAGAGTACGAAAACACGCATATTAATTACCAAATACGTTTAGGATGACGGGGAAAATTAATTTAGGGTACCAAATAGTTAGAGGGAATTCCACTCTGATAGTGTTATATTTTTCGATCTGCTTCCAACCCCATTAAGGAACTTTTACACTGCCCCATTGGTATTTCGGATTTCTAGGTTTTTATTTCAAATCTGGAATATTTTGTTTTTACAGCAGCATTGTAGATGAGAAAATAATAAAATGCAAAGTGGCATCTAGTTCTCGTATTACTCCTAAAAAAGCATGCAGGTGCACTGCCAAAAGAGACGAGGCATTGCGAAAAATTACCAGATCAATTGCATTGTTATATCATAAACGATGTCCAAGCCAATAGCTGAATATCGGTACACAGCGGTGCAGACATGCGTCCAAGATTAGGGGTTTTGAAAATTATCATACCGGCCCGGAAATATAAATTCGAATATGAGCGATCGCAGCCTTGACTGCCCAACTGACAGTACATTATATTAGTTATAGTTTATAGTAGTTAATAATTTAAGGCCGGTTTTATCAATTTTTGATATTTGATATTTTAGCATTTTTTCATTTCGTCCGTGCCTTGGTGGGTCACGAATAAAACGACGTGGGTCACTTTGTGACCCGCGGGTCAGTGGTTCGCCATCTCTGGCCTATAGCTTATGGCTAAAATTACATCAATATGATTTACCTTTTGCAAATCAAACTGTTTGTAATTCGCTGCATATATATATATACCATTCGTATATCCGCCTGATAAATCAGGATCAGGGATTTATGATGAAATCTGTACATTTATTGTTTTCTGCGCGTATTATGTAGATTGTTATGACATGACGGTTAAAACGCTATTTGTTAAATAGCAAAGTAAGGGCTACAAGGAAGACGGAAATAGTGTAAATTGATAGCACAACCCATGGCGACACGCGAGAACGAAAGTATGACTTAAATATTTGTTTGTGTGTGTTTTACTTCTCTCTTCCCATTTACATTCTGATTGTCCCATTCATTTAGCGAATATTTAGAACAAGTAGCTGAATCTTACGTTTTAAAATTGTTTCAAGTATTAAAGTGGACCAAAAAATCAACTAAAAAATTACCTTCCATTTTAAATACTGATTTATATCTGAATTACAGTGTTCAAAAATATGAAAATTATCGTTGCAATTGTTTTGTGCTGGATTTGCTTGAGTTCATGTAAAAAAGGTAAGTTATTCTAAACATTCATTAACAATTTTCCTAATTTTGAACATGTGAAATAATTGTAGAATTAACCACCCAGCTAATTGTGGTATTTATTGAAGGGCGATGTGGCATAGCGGGCAAGATGGAAAATATATAAAAAAAAAACTAAATCTATACTAGCTATTCGCCATAGTCTGAAAACTGTAGTAAAGGTATTCTAATTGGCAAAGAAATTTCCAGAATGTCGCGAAACACAATGAAATACAAGCTCACTATAACTCAGAGCCATGAAGCAGTCAGTGCCCAATGCCGCCTACAAATACTTACTCCGTTAACCGTCTTATACGAACAAAATTCAGTTGAATATCCGGTCCTCAAACATTTTATACATAAGAAGGGAAAAAATCGCTGTTTTTTAGTTACTGGAAAAATCGCTTTCGATTTTCAGTAATGTACTAATCAGCGGTAAAAGTAAATGCTGGAAGCCTATTGCATTTATACTATTTTTTATAAATTTTCATCATTACTCGTGAATTTATGTTTGAGCATTGATATATATATTAGTTATATGCCTATTCTTATCACCTAATTCGAGATAGGGATATTCTGATTGGTGATTGTGCTTATTTTGTCTCAGTTCCGCGTCCACAATGCATCCACAAAATCAATGGTACAAATGGTGTTGTTAAATTTCCCGGAATGCTGTTTAATGACAAAGCGAAGGAATTATTTACAGAAGGGAGAAAAATGGGAAGAATTTGTATCATACACGGGAAAATACCAGAAAATAATGATTTGATATTGAAAATAGACCATCCAGTTGCCCTCCAGAACTGGATATCGGTGCGTCCAATTATGTTCGCTTTGTAACAATAATGGGAATACAACGGACAGTTTTCTCTGTTAGTCTGTCATTTATCTTGAGAAAGTACTTCTTCGGCTGTTAAACAGTTCCATTCCAAACATTTCCAAAAATGCAGGTATTGTTCAAGAATAGAATGTCAACAATTTTGCCTTCTTTTACTCAGATATATAAAGTCTGTTTCTGTTTGTCTTATATAAGTCTGATATAAACACAGTTATCATATTTCGTCTCTACGCAATGATATATTGGAAGCAATTTAAATTTCAACTAGTTTCCGCACCTCTTGAGTAAGTGTTATAGCAATTCTGCTTCGTATTTTTGTACTAACACTTGGTCGTAACTAAATTGGACTATGATTGAAAAAGGGTGTTTAAGTAAGCGATACACTGAGTTAAAATATTTTTGTATGTTTTAAGGTTGGTGGAAAGATTCCAGAATACGGCGATTGGGAAAATATGGCCATTTTGTATTACAATGACCAAGGATCTGTTGATATGCACACGGCCCATCAATATAGTACATTTGCAAGAGATGGTGAAAATGGGACAAAAGAAATAATGCTTCCAGGATACAAATTTGGTCATGTAAGAATTGTCTTCCCCCGAAAAAAGACAAATTTAATAATTACATACTCGTGGACTGATACCCGTAAGTTTATTTTCATTTATATATTATGCAAAATATATCTGACGTTCCCCAGATAACAGTCGGAAGTATTTGTCAAAACATCACAAAATTGCTATGCTATTATTACTTGGACACGAAATGTACATATGAATCGTTTTGATATTATGCTGTTATACCCGAAGTGTACATATGAATCCTTTGTTATGTTGTTTTTGATCATGTTGTTAGTATTTTTCTGCTTCCTGTTGTGAAAAAAAAATTGCTTTTCTCACTTAAAAAGTTTGGTTGAACATTGTATTTTTTGCCGGAACTTTTATATTCATTTCAAAAATTTCTGCGACCTTCATGAAATTCAAATCAAATTTTGCGCTTCTTGTGACGGTTCCTTTTTCGCGTAAGTTGATTTATGGTTGTTTCCTGCGGTACGCTACCGGTAGACTACTGTAGCAGATTGCATACCTACTTTGTGTCCATATATTTGAGTATCGATCTCTTGTTGTAAATCATCTTGTTATTTTTTTTCTTATTTTTGACCCGCCAAGCTTGACGGCTGACTTGTGTTTTGATTTTGTAAATTCTTTCTATGCGCAAGTCGCGAGTTCTTCGATACCACTGTAGAGAAATGTTGATGATTTAATGCTACAGTTGTGAATGAATTATTAAGCATTTTAATTCACGTCAAAAAGACTAATGAATCATTACCTTCATGAGACATGGTTTGGGGGTAAATTTTGGGTAATAATTAGTTTTTTCTTTCGTGTCCCTATATTTTGCGTTGGCGTCTTAATTATCACATCAATTCAATACTAATAAACAATAAAGCAATTGAAATTTCAAAGTCAGTATTAGTATAGCATTATTCTTTATTATTCTTTCAAATCAATATGTTTGTATCCGCCAGAAAAAATGTGTTTCATCCAAATTTATAAATAAATGATATACATAAAAAGTTATATATTTCATATATATATATAAATAATTTCCAAACGCGTCATGACTTTTCAACAAATTACCAACCCTGGTAATCTAGCTCTAAAAAGGCAGAGTTTGGGAAACACAATTATAAGCTAATTGATGCAGCTGCAACTGAAACATAAAAAATCCTTACAATGCATTCGCAATATTCAAGTAGGGTACCTAGTTTGGAACCAGTTTGAAATCCGGGGGTCGGGATTTCCCCCATCCAATCCCGGGATTAATAAAATTGAAAACACACAAACACAAAATAGTATAAGCAGTCATGGTTATTTCTTATAAAACTGACGCAAAAACACGAGAGCACCAAGAGTGTCATCATTTAGTTTTGGACGTGGCAAAAAAATCAAGGTCTGAAAATGCACGTTCAGCCTCAACTGACGTAGGTTTGATTGTTTCTAGAGCGTCATACAACTTTTCCATATTTTCTGAATCTCATATAGCAGCATTTCCTTCTCAGCCATCGACATTCGACATCCATGAGCACACCTTCATTCTATTACATTTTCAGCGCGTTAAACGAAGGCATGAAGCTCTTGCGCCAACATCATTGGAGTGTTTTTGTCGTGGCTGCTATCTTTTGATCAAATATTCAGCTTTTTAATGGTGTCTAGGTCGGATTCTTCCGTACAGAACATTTTGAATCTTTGTCAATTGGTTGTCGGATGTCATTGTTTCCGGTGCTGCGTGATTTCCGTCCAGAAAATCCCGTAATTATATTTAAAATAACTCCGGGATCGGAACTGAAAAAAAAAAAAAAACAGAAAATCCCGGAATCGCAACACTAATTTTACGAACATGTCCACAATCGATGCTTTAAGGTTATTTACTTTACTTGAAGGAAAAGCTTGTAAATCGTTAACTGACATAGCTGACATAGTAACGTGTACCGATAGAAGCAATTTGAATTCAAAGTGCCCAGTGAAGTGTGAAGGTTGGAATTCCGCTCCTTCCACCGATCATTTATACAGGACTAAGCCAAGATGGAAATTTAAAAAGAAACTTCCTCTAATGTCGACAACGTGCCGGTAATGTTATTTTAATGAAATTATAAATCTTATGCTTTTATAATTTACGTTGTACTGCATTTGACGTTTTGTATATTCAAGAATGTTCGAGCCATGATAGTTTGACTTCAAATAAAAGTGAAAATAATCGATCTATAATTCTATAGTTTATAGTTCTAACTTCACAAAAAATGCCGATACAATATACCTGCTATAATGCAAGCTAAATATATTCTTGAGTGAAATATATACGTGTGGTATTAGGCTTTTATTCGGAAGATATTATCCATTACCTCCTGTACTGTATTGTGTAATTTGGAGTTTTCATATAACGAAGTATTGCATTGTATGATTCAGCGATGAATGTTCACATTAATTTGAAATGTTCTCCCATCTGTAATGTAGATGCTGATTGCAATAGTAAAATATTCCAAAGTTTATATCAGGAGCGATTCAAAAGTTATGTCCCCACACAAGAGTTCTAATAGTGCAGTATCTTGCCGTATAAAAGAGAAATATGATCACTGCAATATAAGAGCTATATTCAAAAAGTTTTAAGTGATTTGAGAATACGTGAAGCTGAAATGGTGGATTTGGCCGAAACAATTAATGAGGCTTGTATTTCAAGAGACATCCTTGGTAGTCACTGGATTGGCGGATTTGTTACTAACCTTCGCTCTCCAAAATATTTTTGTCCATGTCCAATTCAGATATGATGCACCAATTGGGGCGTCTATATTCCAATTGTTTATGGTCGGATTGGATAAGGAGTCATTGAACATAACTGAGGTTACCAACGAAATGTTTGCCACGTATTATTGAAATAATGATCGCATGTCATCATCATGACTCCACTGACTCCGTCAATGACTTCCACATTATCAGTGAAACGAGTTTTTTCAGGGGGGCTTGCTATGGTGTTGAGAAACTCCCAAAATGAGTTTCGATTTCATGTAATCGGAATCATTTCGACAGTTTCACTGTCATGTTTTTAAATGTAATAAATATACACAATGTGCGTGTCACAAAAAGCTATAGCTAGAGTGATATCTCTAATTCACATCTTATTCAATTATTTTACAGGGGAAATGGTTTTCAGTCGCCAGACTGGTTTCCTAAAATTTCAATTCAATCAAGCTTCGATAGTGCTCTCAGGGTTCGATGGATCCCTTCCAATACAGAAATTTCCGATACAGATAGTGTGAGAAAAAGAATTGCGATTAATAAAATCTTTCTTCCCAAGATGAATCCTAAGTGAAAATAGAATTTTTTTTTTTAAATTAAATCATAGAATAAATAATGAGATTTAGAAAATGGTCCGACAATTAAAATTCTATATATATCATTTACTTCAAGAAAGCGCATGTAATCAAAATTCTAATTCTGTGCTTGCTATAGGAAATGAAAACAACTGAAAATCCCAAATTTGCATATATAATATATTATCTCCGACTGATTTTTTTATCTATCCATGAATATGATTTTTGTGTTTAGGTGTTAACTTACACTTTGGCACCAACAATGTTTCAGGATAGCATTTACCTTTACGCAATCTTACGAAACTGAATTCGCTTGATTAGCTTTCTGATACTATTAGCCCGGTTTTAACTTGGCGATAATTATTGTAATTTCAATTTTTATTACTAGGGAACCTGGGGTCAAAGAATGGTATCGTGCAATATTAATTTATCCAGAAATTGTTGTGGATTTTCGGAAAGAAGAATTAATGAATTCGCACAAATGCCTTAGTTTGGAAAACTTAGCTGATTGTTTTGAAGGAAAGTCAAGATTCGTGGTAATTTATTGTGGGACTAAAGAAAGTTTATAGTACATATATATAGGAGAAAAATCGATATAGAAACTCAAATCTGCATTGGGGTAAAATAAACTCAATATCGCCAACACAGAATATGAACTCAATATACCCCTAAGTGTATAAATATATATTTATTGTTCGGCGACATTCAAGTCCCGTTTTGCGAATCTTTGTATATAGCGGAAATCATATCAATCCACTATTCCGTGACTGCCACATGCCAAATAATAATGTAGTTGTACAAAATAATGTTCTTCCACGTTTTAGCTTGAATACACTGTGTAATAATTCAACTATTGTATAGACCCATTGGATCGACAGTTGCGATTATCCAATTGATTATCTTCTGGAGTTATTCGGCGAAGATGGGGACAGTGGAATCGATCCCGATACAATTCCCGCACCAACTAAACTTACACTAAAGGATCAAATTCGGAAAATGGATTCCGAAGCAAAATTGCAACTTTTTATGAAATTATTTTTGAGCAATGGGAAGGACATTTTCATCATTTCACTGGAATAGGACAGGTGACGAAAATTACCATTTCCGACCATGTATATACTTACCTCTACCTAAATAATACGGACCATACATTGTATTTTAGGAACCTTGCGTAGTAGATGAGTACGTAGATCTGTACAATATTTTGATAACACCAACTACTACAAATCTCAAAGGTAGACCGTATTTGGGATGAATTCAGAGGACTAGTAGATATTGTAGGTCATCTTATGTGTTTCTTTATTTTGATCTTCAGTACTGCAGTATTGCTATGCGGTGATGTTTTCAATCGTGTTAAATTCATTTAAAATACTTAGGCAAAGCAAGCAAAATTCATTAACAATAACGATTCGTGAGCTATTTATTTTTGACATTGGTGAGATAAAGCTTCAAAATACAAAAGTGATCCGCTTCAAATAAAACATCTGGGGTAAAATATATGGTTTTATATGACTAGGAAGAAATTTGAAAACAAATCTCAACAACAAAATTTACAATACAATATAAGAAAAACGATTCATAGGTCTATCTTATGTTGCATATATATGACATAAATGTGTGCGGATTGTATTAGCATATTCAAAACGATTATAATGGCTTCATTTCTAAATCATTGAAATATATATTATGTTAACTAGGATTGTGGCAATTACAAACAGTTCCTGTCACTGGGTAATAAATGGTTGATATTGTATGAAATAGCAAAATCGTTTCTTTTGAACCCTAAATGCTAATTTCTATGACCTAATGATCTAATCGCGACAATAGCGCATCAACCTATATTGAGAAAGTGATTTTCTGAATTAAATACAGGACATATAAGAATTGGGCGTTTATTGCACAAAAAAGGAAAAAAAAAAACACTAAGCATGCCACATTACAAACAACTCTTATTCTAGTATCGATACTCCAAATCCAGGCTCGGCTATCCTTTTAGTTGACAATGGCAAAAATATTTTTTATTATTGATACAAGAGAGCAACACTCAAATCTTAACATGATTGTAAAACGATGAGCAATAGTGCACAGAAAAAATAAGCAAAATATAAAACAAATAGCTTTAGTGTTTTAGGGCACAATTTTATTTTAAACTACTGAACATTTGAAAAATAACAACTATGTCATGATCTATCAAACTCATTCTACATTTCACGCAACAATATTTTTGAATAAATGATATATACAATGATTTTTTATTTTCTTTTCAGACGTGTAATGCACGAAGTGAAGTGGGAAATGAATGGAAACCTCACTGCTCTTCGAACATTTGTGAATTACTCAAAGTGAAACTGAGTGATGGAAAAACAACATACGAATATAAGTACAAGTGTGCAAGCTTTAGAGGTATTTTTCAACTTCACAAGTACTGTCTGTAGAGCGTAATTACGCCATTCTTTTTGGAACGAATTGTAGTATCTTATAATACAATATTGTGTCGGTAAATACTGAAATATTTATCATTTCGTGGAAAATTTTTATTTTAAAACAGTTTGCAAAGAGGATAATTTGTGGTGTTTTTCGCAATTTGAAGTAATATCGAGACTTGTATTATATATGAACAATCATACGGAAATTTCGAATTTATGATCGGTAAAAGAATACAAGCTTTAAATAAGCCGCAAACATTGTTACAGTTAAAATAATATATTATTGTGTGTAAAGGAGTTGAACACGTGTGTTAACAAATTGGTGGATTGATTAACTAAACTGATATTTGTACTAAAATGCTTTCTTAATGTCCAGGACGAGGCCGTCGCGGTGAGTGTATTATTTGCAGACACGGGAAGAACAAACTGTGTCAAACTCCAAAAGCCTCTGGATAAGCGGAGAAATAAATGAAAAAAAAAAATCCGTAGTATTTACATCCTTAGCGCGGTGAAGGAACAATTAATCAGTTAACATTATCATAATAAAATTCATCGCTATTTTTCCTTTGCTTAAAAATACATTGTTTAGTGTAAATTTGTTAGAAGTGTACAACCGTTTACTCTTAGATGTCCATTGTTACTGGGGCCCGTAGATAGCTTCAGTACAGTGTGTACCTCTTTTCAATTAGCTCTTGTGTATCACCGCTAGTGGGCAGTGGTTCACTGCCTTGTATTATTGGTCAAGGCCTCTCGACAACAACATGAAACCGGGAGCGCACACAGTAAATTTGCTTACCTACTTCATGTGTTTATCGTAGAACTATATTGGCTGGATAGACGGCAACTGTCATTTACCGCAACCAATTCCTGTATGGTTGCTTTATTGAATTACATTTAATAACTGAAGATTCTGTTTAACTGTGGATTTACTTGGATTAAACTATCATTCCAAGCAACAATATCAGAGCTGAATATTGCCGGTGTGTCATAGACAGTAAGACAGGTTTTGGGGCGCATATAAATGCATTACAGTCATAGACAATTTGCGGGGCTATTGGACTTTGGACACCGCAGCATCCATGTTAATGATATTCGCAACAAACTTTCTCGTTCTGCAGGTATGTTAGGTTATCTCCAACACTATGTTGATACAGCTATACTTATAGTGTTATATTTATCATTTCAATTTTCTATAGTATATACAATTGTAGCATATGGATACGCATCTCAATCAATTTCGAATGGAATCAAAATGCAACAAAATAGAGCCGTTAAAACCTTTTTTAGGTCTTCTGCTCGTTTGGATCTCGTAAATATGAGCTCTGTAAGCTCATGCCCAAATGTCAATCATTTTATTTCCATTGCATTTGGTTGTTATTTCAACAGACAAACTAACATCCACACATGCACCACAAGATTTAGTCCAAACATACTTATTTTATTTACCACAACTTAAAATTGTTTTAAACCCAAGGGTGCAAAGAGTGTGAAATAATATATACCAAGTGAGTCAAAGTCTTGAAAAGATAAACCCGACAAGCAAGGCCCACAGGCATACCTTCCTAGTAGTCCAAAATTGAATATGGTAATAATACCGGGTACACTAAAATTGAATAGTTCTAATAAAGTGATTTGTATATCTCCAATAAACAATTGGGGGACCATACGACTTTGAATACAATTTAAAGGTGGGGGATAACAATTAAGGGCCCAGGCACAGGGTAACGCTGAATGGTGAAGCGGTTTAACAGTGCCTTAAGTCACCCTAGAAATGTTGACCCTGTTCACCGGCCTATACAAATCAATACAAAAAGCAGTTGAAAACCTGGTGTTCATACATTTCTTAGAAGAGAACCTAAATGTTATACTAATTATCACTATTTTACATTGTACTGCATTGAACATCATGTATAATCGAGCATGTTCAAGTCACGGTAGTTAGAGTTCAAATAAAAGTGAAAAAGATTGAACTGAATATTCAAATATATTATGTACCGGTATAACTTCATGAAAATACCGAAATTCTGCTATAATGCAAGCTAAATCTATTCTTGAGTGAAATATATATGTGTGGTAGATTGCCTTACTTTGAAAATATTATTGATTCAGCTCATGCCATATATCACAAACTTAATACAAAAGAACATTCTGTGAAGTAAGGAGTATGCCCCGGTGCGTTTCACAGAATTATAAAGACGAACTGACGCCGAAAGTTTATATCAGAATCGATTCAAATGTTATGTGTCCCAACTCCGAGTTCTATAATGAGTATTGCATTACAGTGTCATATTGGAAGTGAAAGAGAACTATTACAATTTAAGTGCTATATTTAAAACATTTTGAGTGATTTGATAATGCTTTGAGCTGAAATGACGGATTTGGAGAACACCAATATTGACGCTTGTATTTCAGGAGATATTCTTGGTAGTCACTAGATTGGGGGATTTGTTCATAACTTTCGCTCTCTAAAATATTTTTTGATATTGTCCAATTCAGATATGGTGCACCGGATGGCACGTCTAAACTCCAATTAAGCGCAGATTGGATAAGCTGGAAATACCTATAAACCAATGAAAATTGAAATTACTCACCAAACATTTGCCGCGTATTGTTGAAATAATACTCACCGGTCTTGCGAGTAGCAACACCGTACGAAGTCTTGTCATCATCACGACTCCACATTGCGTGATGGCTGTTGAACCTCTGCTTCAAAGGAGCATTAATTTAGTTGCTATAATCGAAAATGAGTCTCGCAAATGATGTGATAGACTAGTCTAAACTAAGCTATCAGTGCCTGTAAGCGGTACATGATTAATTAATTTTAATGAAAGTGATGGTTTTAAACACGTAAATGAGCTTATAAGCGCCAACACATCAAACATTCTCAAAATAAGTATAAATTTTTTTGCAAAAGTAAAGTATAGGAAGAATTTGTCTGGGGTCAGAGAAACGTTCTATGGACCAGCCCAGTCTTTAAAATCGCCCTCGCCTGCTATTGTCCACGAACGAATCGAGATGGGCATGTTTTCGTCCGTCTTGCGGATTAGGTCACAAAAAATGTAGTGCCACATTATAAAATGCTCCCATAGAACGTGACTTGTGCCATTGTTCCCCACACCAAATTTTTTTTTTTTAGTGGTACGCGGACAGAGTAAAAATCAGTAAAGTGGTCAGTAAAAGGTTGAGAACCACTGGTTTAGAACTGCCATATATATATATATGCGTAATTCACCGTTGTTCACCCTACAGTTGTATACATATGCCATGCTATCCTGCGACGGTTTAGTTTACATACCCTTTTTTTTATCAAGACATTCATTTTGGTTTATGAAACTTATATGTTTCCATAAGATGCATGACTTCAGACAATTTCTAATTTTATTTTCAAATAAAACTGCATACGTAAGTGCCATTCTCCGCAATGTCAATGAAAATTCAAAAAAAAAAAATGCTGTATAAATATCAATGCTTTTTTTAATTTTTTTTTGTTTTCTGACACGTATAACACAATATATATAACACTGACACACAATATAAAAGTCAAAATATATACTGACATTTAGTTATTAAGAGGATAGATTATGAAACCAGAATTAGACTTGGGTGGAAATGCGTACAAGAAGATAACGGGAACTTTTTGGTCAGTTGGATTTGCTGTGGAAGTTGTAAAATAATGATGTGAACACCTGAAATTGCAAAAATGTTGATCCATACCTGTTTATTATATGTGTAATATAAAAGTCCCCTAATTTTGCTCTACTTTATTTATGGTAAAACTCAGTGGCGGCGCGTCAATAGGGCCAACCGGGGCAATGCCCAGGTTGTTTTTTCGGTATAATAAAAAATATTCGAAAAATACCTCAATATCGGTTGCACAGACTGTCTACACTAGCCATATTCTCCCGACATGGTTCATTTTTCGCTCGCAAAGCCTTCTCCGAACGTCGACAGGGCGACGCCGATTTTGCCCCGGTTGCTCATTGTATATCGTATTCTCTCTTTTATCTTCCACTCGCCGCGTTTGTCTCGTTTGTTTTCTGTTTCTTTTACTAAATCATCGGGGCCGATCGGGGCTAGCCCCGAAATTATGACGACACAATGCCGACGTTTCTTACAACAACGTGGTGACATATTCACGCATTCCTTCTCGTTCGTTGGTTGCTTGAAGAGTTGATAGTTTCCTCGCCTTCGTTTCGATAGTTTCTTCGCCTTCGATAGTTTCCTCGCCCCGGCTTCGCATTTCTTAGCCTTAGACCTCATAATGAATAAGGTTGAAATTTTTCAAAATTTGCACGTCAATTTCCCATCCATTTGTTGGCTACTGTTTCCAAATTTTACCCCATGATAAACGTGGGTAAAATGGAAAATGAATTGCGATGTATATACACCAATCAAACTTTTTTGAACATCACATCAACTTGCGCGCTCTACGGGTTCCTCATAGATAACACTCTAGTAACTACCTTTGCGGCGTCTGCTGCAAAATTTCTGGACATCATTTTGACGGCGCCTATTTCTTCCGCCGACGCAGAGCGAACAATCAGCACGCTGAAGCGTATTAAAACGTATCTCAGAAACACAATGAAGCAAGATAGATTAAATTCCTTGGCTGTTTTATCCATTCACAGAGACGTTATTTCTGGGATGCATGACTTTAATCAGCGCGTTGTTGAGCATTTTGCTTCCAAGAAACCGCGGCGTGTTGCATATATGTTCAAGCAGTAGAAGTCTAGCAGCATATATATCTATGAGTGAGCGACGCATGTCCTTATCTTTGCATTACCTTTCCTTTCTTCATAGTAACGTTTTAAACCTTATTTTAGGTTGTGTCTTCTTTCCCGAAGTTTCTGTTAATATGTCATTGTATTTATCTGAGTAAATATTGCCTTTCCTTTTGAAAGAGGTTTCAAAATAAACTATGTCTATATTTATTAATCCCTTGACTCGGACCGGTTTTAAAGACACTTTCTTATCGTTAAAAATTGTCGCTTTTGCCGATTGGTTGTTACCGATGGAATGGTTTTTATACTCATAAAATGATGGGAGAACTTACAGCGCTCATCCTGTCCCCGTAGATGGGGGTGACTTGGTCCCGCAGTAGCTTGCCCCGGTTGTCAAAATGACCACGCGCCGCCACTGGTAAAACTCCATAGTTAAGTGTGGCACCGTCTACTCTAGCTTAAATGATGACTACACGAAAAGATAGATGTTAAATGGCAGACGATTATCACACCACACGCCCAATGCATTGGATTTTTGCTTCAGGCAATTCTCTATTATTAGTTACGACGGCGGCTAGTTCAAACGTAAGTTGTGTATATGTACGAGTATAGTAACTTGAGATAATAAGTATGTATAACTAAAACTACCCCAGAGAGATTTACCTTTTGCAAATTAAACTGTTTACCATTCGTAGGCTATATCCGCCTGCTTAATCAGGATCAGGGATTTGTGATGAAATCTGTACATTTATTGTTTCCTCAGCGTATTTTGTAGAATCAGTGGTTATCAACCGTCGGTCTGCGTACCGGTGCCGGTCCGCGGCAACCTTGCTGCCGGTCCGCCCAATATATTCCAATATTAATATATTATAAGCAAAATACAAAGTATTGACGGCATGTCCATTAATTTTATGATTTTTTTTTAACTCTTATTGATTCGTATTATCGGTATTCGTCTAACAACCAAACTTGGCGAAATGTCCTTTCCTCTGCCCATTTTGGGTCCTGAACGGCTGGATGATCTTTATTAATCAAGTCTATGACCTCATAACGGCGGCCAACGTCATAACGGAGGAGTTGATAGCACGTAGTACGGTATCTGAAACTGGACCTGATTGAGAACCTCGAAGTTTGCCCGTCCCTTAATTTGACAGTAGGCCTATAATTTAGCGGGGTTCGATAGCAAAAATGGAGGTAAACAAACAGCAAAGTATTATCCAGTTCTTTCAAAAGAAATT